AGCAGAGAGGGCGTGAAACAGGGCGAGGCAGAGAGAGAAGCATAGACCGTGGAAGCTCTTGGCTTTCCCCTTCTGAAGTCCGTATCAGTTTTCTTTTTTGTTGAAGAGAAAGAGAAACAAAGAAGAGAGAACAGGAATTTACATGTTCTTCCTAACTTGTTCTTGTCCCTCCCTCTTCTCTCCCCCCTCACCCTGTCTCTCTGCACGGGAATGTGGAATGAGATGAAGGCAGCGTCCCCTGGAGGGACCTGCCCCTCACAAGAAAAAGCCCGAGGATCAGCTTCCAAATAAACCCTGTCTCAACCACCCCCCACCCCCTTTCCCCTAGGTTTCGTATACTTTCTGCAGTAAGGATGTGATGCCCAATTGCTTTGACAAGTATCATATAAGACCTTATGTGCTTAATTGGAAAGCGAGCAATATCCGGTAACCTTGTTGGGAGATTTGGGGGAAACATTGAGAGTGAAAAGCAAGATGCTTGCGATCAATTCCTAGCAGCCTGTTGGAAGGTCCCAGGAAGTAGTGAAAGGATATTTGCTCCAAGTATTCTTGTGTCCCCGGGACTTACAGTAAATCATTCGTCTTCTTTGCGTGTTTTCTTTTCCTTCTTTCTTCCTTTCTTACCTCGATTTCGCCCATTCTCTGTCACTTTCTCTCAACAGCTCTCGCCCCTTCCCGCTCATGGTTCCATGCCCTACCCTTGCCTCCTTTCAAATGAATAGGCAAGAAGAGAGTAAGAGAGGAGAGGGAGACCCGTCCCCTACCCTTCCCTTTTTCGATATCCTTTTAAGAATAAGAAAGAGAAGAACAAGAGAAAAAAGTGAGAAGAGGAGGAAGGTAGGCAGAAGAAGAAGGACTTCCTCCCTTTCATTTGGCTTTGTCTTACATTTCGTTTTTGCCCTCTTCTGCCATCTCTTTTCTCAATGTCTTGCTGTCTCTCACTGTAAGGAAAGGAAGAGGCGAGAGGAGGAGGGGAGGGGAGGAGAGGCAATGGGTGCTGCTGGAAGCTCTTGCCCCAGGACATTCAACAAGCCTTGAAGGCCCCGACATTCGGGAGGCTCCCGGGAGGCCTGGAGGCTGAGACACAAAACGGGATGAGAAAAAGCCTCGCTCGTGGTTCTGTACACACCCGTAGCCCAATGTTGGCTTTTCCGTTTGCAGCGTCACCCCCGCAACATACCAGGGGTGGGGGAAAGTTCTAAACGCATGCCGCTCAGGGGCGGTCCTTCGGGGATCATATGCTCAGAAGAAGAAGAGATGGAGAGAAACAACAACAACGAGAAAGGAGGAGATGATGAGAGAGCGGGCCTCTTGCTTGCCCTGAGCTCTCTGTTCCTTGCAGTTCTCCTTTCTTATGCAAAAAGAAGAAGAGAAGAATATGGCAAGAGAAGGGAAAGCAAGAGAGAGCCGAGCGAAGGAGCAAAACAAACTTTCTTCTGCCCGCCGTCTTCCTCCATCTTCTCTCGTCCCTCTCGTTCTGTTCTTTCCTTATTCTTCGAAGAATGTTGTTGAGAGGAGGGGAGGAAGGGAAGAGGAGAGGGGGGGTGACAAACAAAGGAGCGGCAGAGTGAGGAGGAGTTTGCCCGTCGCCTCAACTCACCCGGAAGCGCCCAACGGGTCCGGAGGACCAAGATCTGTCCCCCTTTGTGAGGAAAGGAAGAGGCGAGGGGAGGGGAGGAGAGGCAATGTCTCATGGCGAGCTGGGAGGGAGGGTCTCTCTCTCGCTCTCTCTCTCTCTCCCTCTCTCTCTCTCTCTCTCTCTCTCTCTCTCTCTCTCTCTCTCTCTCTCTCTCTATCTCTCTGTCTGTCTCTCTTTCTCTTCTTCTTCCGCTGGGCTTGAAACTTTCCCTCTCTCTCTTCTTTCTATAGGTTCTTTGTATTGTTCTCACCTTTCCGGGATCTGTTTCTATTTTTCTGCGTACCTTCTTCGCCTGAGCTCTTCGCCAGAAAGGAAAGAATATGAAAGAAGGAGAGTGGCAGAGAGGTGAGAGGAAGGACAGAAGGCGAGTGAATAGGAGAACTCTTCCTCCGAATCTCGCGGCTACCAGTCCTCTTCTCCTTTTTCTTCCAACGCAGCTCGTCTTGGTTTATCACTTATGAAACGTGAGAGAAGAACAAGGAATGAACAGAGGCGGAGGACAAGGCCCTGCTGCTTTTTCATCCCCTCCCCCCTCCCTCTCTCTCTGTCTCTCTCTCTCTCTCTCTCTCTCTCTCTCTCTCTCTCTCTCTCTCTCCCTATTCTCTTTTCCCTTTTCTCTTTCTCTTTTGCTTGCTCCCTTTCTTTCTGTCTTTCTTTCCCTGGCTCTTGTTCTCCTTCTACCGTTCTCGGATTCGCTTCTTTTTCTCTTGTCTTTTCCTTTACTCCCTTGTCTGCTTCCAGCAGTAGAGAGGGAGGGAGGGAGGGAGGGAGGGAGAGAGGGAGAGGGATGAAGAGAGCAACGAAGACAAGAAAAGAAAAGATGATGAGAGCGAGGCCTCTTGCTTGCCCTGAGCTCTCCGCTCCTTTCATTCCTTTCTTACGCAGAGAACAGGGAGAAAAGAAGATGAAGAAGGCAACGGAAGAAAAAGCGAGAGAGCCGGGCGAAGGAGGAGTTCACCCTTCCTCTCCCCACCGTCTTCCTCCGTCTTGTCTCTTCCTTTCTGTTCTCTGTTATTCCTCACTCTTTGCAGAAATGGAAAGGAGGTGAGGAAGGAAAGAGGAGAGGGGAGGGATGATAGCGCAAGAGATGGCAAAGCAAGGAGGATGAATGAGAGCTGAAAGGAAGGACAGAGAGTGATTGAAGAGGAGAACTCCTCCTCCGAATCTCGCGGCTACCAATCCTCTTCTCCTTTGTCTTCCCACGCAAGCTCGTATTGGGTTTTCACCAATGAGACAGGAGGGAAGAACAAGGATGAACAGAGGCGGAGGACAAGGCCCTGCTGCAATCTTCATCTCCTCCTCTTTTCATCCCACCCTCCCCTCTCTCTTTTTTTGTTTTTTTTTTTCTCTCTCTCTCTCTCTCTCTCTCTTACTTTCTCTAACTTTCTCTCTTTCTTTCTCTCTTTCTTTCGGTCTTTCTTTCTTGCCCTTGTTCTCCTTCTGCCATTATCGGATTCGCTCTCTCTTTCTCTTGTCTTTTCCCTTATTCCCTTCTTCCTTGTGCATCGTCCTTCTGACTGAGAAAGGGAAGAGGGAGAAAAGGGAGGGGAAGAGAAGGGAGAGGAAGAGTGGGAGAAAGATAAACGTCAAGTCAAAGGTAAGAAGCGGGAAAGAGAAGCGGAAAAGGGATATTGCAGAAGTAGAGAGGGAGGAAGAGAGATAGAGAGAGAGAGAGAGAGAGAGAGAGAGAGAGAGAGAGAGAGAGAGAGTGACAGAGGGAGAGAGAGAGAGAGAGAGATGAAGCGAGCAATGAAGACGAGGAAGCAAAGATGATGAGAGCGAGGGCCTCTTGCTTTCTCTGAGATCTCCGTTCGCTTCATTCTTTTTTCATGAAGAGAACAGGGAGAAGAGAAGAGGAAGAACGGCAAAGGAAGAGAAAGCGAGGGAGCCGAGCGCAGGAGGAGTTCACCATTCCACCATCTTCCTCCATCTTATCTCTTCCTTTCTGTTCTATGCTGTTCCTTACTCTTTGCAGAAATGGAAAAGAGGGGAGGAAACAATATAGGAGAGGGGAGGGATGAGAGAGCAAGAGATGGCAGAGAGAGCAGAGCGAGAGAGAGAGAGAGAGAGAGAGAGAGAGAGAGAGAGAGAGAGAGAGAGAGAGAGAGAGAGAGAGAGAGTAGAGAGAGAGAGAGAGATAGAGAGAGAGAGAGAGAGAGAGAGAGAGAGAGAGAGAGAGAGAGAGAGAGAGAGAGAGAGAGAGAGAGAGAGAGAGAGAGAGAGGGGGAGGACAAGAGATACATCGCAAGAGGGAAGGAAAGGAGAGAGAGAGAGAGAGAGAGAGAGAGAGAGAGAGAACCACATCGAGAGGAAGTGGCATGTTCCCTTTCCCTTTCGATCGTGCTGGTCAAAGATGAAGGCAAAAAGAATAGAGAAGAAGGGTCAAACAAAGGAAGGCAGAGAGGGAAAGCCACGACTATGAAGAATTCGACATGTCCATCTCCACGTATATTCCTTTGTCATCACTTCCTTTCTTTGTGTCTTCACGGAACATGCTAGAGAAACAAGGACGAAAGAGAAATGACTGACCTATTCTTGATGGTTCCGGTCTGGGCGCCGAGATGTTTATCATATGGTACGTGGGCTACCGTAAATCCTAAACCCCAAGCCCTTTTGCAAAGAGTTGCTTGAAACTTGAAACTTGGAACAACAAACATTAAATCATACTCTATATCTGATAATTGCAAAGTCATTGTTTAAATAAGAAACGAAAGGGATCGCCAAATAATACGTAAAGGTCCATGCCACATATATATATATATATATCTAAACAACATAGAAGTATGTAAATATACACAAACAAACACATAGATAGACAAACAAAAGACACAAAAGACACACATGCATATATATATATATATGTATAATATAATATAATATAATATAATATAATATAATATAATATAATATATAATATAATATAATACAAGATAATATAATATAATATAATATAATATAATATAATATAATATAATATAATATATTATAATATATATATATATATATATATATATATATATATATATAATATAATATTTGTATGAATTTATATTATGTATACATGTGTGTATGCATGTATATACATTTACATATATACATACAAGACAGAGAGAGACAGACTGACAGTCAGACAGTCAGACAGACAGTCAGACGCAGGCACGCACACGCACATGCATCACTCGTGTGTGTAAGAGAGAGAGAGAGAGAGAGAGAGAGAGAGAGATGACACTGAGGACTTGCGCGCCCTCCGGGGCAGCTCTCCCTTAGGGGGGGGCTAAGCGTGCAGAGAGAGAGAGAGAGAGTGTGTGTGTGTGTATGCTACAGAGCCCGCATCAGCCGCATAAGCCGATGTTGTTGCGAGGCCGCAGCGGCCGCCAAGCTGCATCGAACCCCGCGCGGCCTCTGGAGTCTAGGGGTCTGCAGGGCTCTCAGCCAGGATCAGCCAGGGTTTTTATGTTTTTTTTGTTTTTTGGGTTGGTGCGTTTGACCTGTTTCCTGCATGCGCACACTTCTTGCAAGGTATCCTTGTGGTGGTCATTGCCCTGTTGGTGCACCAGCTGCGCGAGATTCAGGGGATCATGCGCGTGGGTAGCCTGCGGTGAAAAAAGCCCGCGCTGTTGAGTGGAGTTGCAGCTCTTGTCACAAAGCCTCTCGTTTTATTGGCCAGGACTCCGTCGGTGGTGACAGGCTGCGGGATGGCGCAACCAAGGCTGCAAGCGTAGGGCATCTTAGTAGTTCTGAAAGCACAACGCTGGACTCACTAGACACGGACAGGTGGTGAACTCAGTGGCCACACGCTTCGTCAACTCGGTGATCGTCATGAGCTTTATCCTCCATCCGGTGGTGGTGAGGCCATGGTCGTCCTATGAAGTCTACCTTTGTCTGCATAGCCCTGAGAAGGTATTGTTATTCTCGTAGTTCTAGTAACGTAGTACCTGTCTGCAGTGTGATGTCACGAGGCTGAGAGTGTAAGGAGCGCTCACGGAACACGCTGGGATGTCCGCTGATCGCAGGATTTTGGTCGTTGGCTTCGAGTGCGAGGAACTCGATGTCCTGCGCCACAGGCCGGAATTTGGAGATGAACATGCTTCTGCTAATGGCTCTTTGCGTTTGCTGGTGACTGCAATTCAGTGGGTTGGATCCCTTCATGCTCACACTGTACCAGCTCCCCAAGACAAACTGCTCGGGGCTCCAGCCTTCAGAAATCAGGTTTGGGACCGTTTTTTGCGGCCCTCCCTGCTATTGTAGGAAGAGCTTGAAGAGCTTTAGACCCCGATGGTGCAATCATCCGATGTCTCCGCCAGGCACGACCTCGGGGTAGAGTGCAAGTCGGACAGCCACATGCACCCTGCCAAGTCTCCGGATCACTGGCTTTCACTGGCTTGGTCAAGCAATGCATCTGTGACAGCTCAGCTTGTTTGCAGCGATGCTTTGAGTTCACCAGAGGCAATGGCTGGGTTTGAGTACAGTGGGGCTTGTCGTCTATGGAATCGGCGTGCCGGCCATCAGCCAAGAACAATGTCGTAGCAATACTCCTTCGATGGGTAGCTACTGTGGCTGTGGCGCTTGCGAGGTTGCACTCTTCATCGCCTTGTTCCGAGTTCGAAAGCGGCTTTTCCGTGCGGACCGGCTTTTGTTGAACAACCGCTGCGTCTGTGTGAATCTGTTTAGAACCTCCATGGTAGGAAGTTCGAAAGCGATTCGGCTTCCTGTACAACGGCTTTGAGCCGGCAGCTCGATCTTGAGGGATGCACTGCATGCAGACACCGCCTGCGTCCGTTTGTCAGGCTGAGATACTATTACTTCGAGTCTGCAGGATGCTTAGGGCGCAGCAGGGTTGGACAGGGATGGCTGGCTGCAAGCTCCATGCTCACTGAGGTGTATATGTTCAGAAAGGTGATGATCCTGCTGTTCTTTACTGCTCCGACGATGTACGTTCGGATGGCTCCGCACCTACACAGTGCAAAGGCTTGCGCTGCAGTTCCCTGCCCCCTTGTGGAATGGACTAGGTTCTCATGCTCTTCACCTCCTTCGGCTTCATCCTGCTGCACGTGTACTCCGGGCCCTTTGACAATCGCAGCTACGTCTGTCCGTCCCTTAAAAGCAAACCGTAAGACGGTACTACTACTGTAGAAATATGAGAGATGTAAAAAAAGGATCTGTATATAACAAAGAAAACCATAATACGTATCTTATGCATTATTTGAAATACTCAGATGTCTGGGAACCAAAGGGAAGAAACAACTGACTCTAATGAACAACGAGAGCTTCGGAGCTCTGCCCACCCGTCCAAGGCCTCGACCGGCTTGAGGCCTTGAACCTCCTGGCCCGGGACTCAATGAGAAAACAAGCACAGAGGAGAAGCTCGTAGGAAACCAAGCTTAGGGTTTAGGATTCAGGGTTTAGGGTGTAGCAGGGTGTAGGATTTAGGATTTTTCCGGAGTTTCTCCCGGAGGCCTTGACGGCAACAGTGTCGGCGCGCCTTATCTTCGACATCCGGCAGGCGTGCCATGTGCTATCATCATTGTATTCCATATTCCCATGTGTAGCCTCAAGAGAGCTGTAATTCTGTTACTCCGCATGATCTTCGGCAGCCACAGTAAATTTTCACGTGAAGCTTCAGCGAGAGCCCACTGATCCATGCGTTGTATCATGCACGAGCTTCTCCCTCCTAACGAGAGACCCGATGACTAGAAAAATCAAGGGCTGCGAGGGCTGAACGTGCCAAGCAGAAATGTCAGGAGCTTTCCGGCGAGTTCTTCGAGGACTGGAGCCAGCATTGCAATCGGCCTTCCCTTGGCCAAGGCCGCGAAACAAAAGGTTCCGGAGTTCGAATCGCGTACGGTCCAGGAGTTCGTGCATCATTGGACCATGGACATTCTCCTAGTGTCGGTGGCTCAGCGGGCATGGGGCTCTTGATGCCGACGCTCTCCTCAACGCAGCTTGCAGATGCCGCCGATTGATTCAAAGAGCCGCTTTTAAACCATCCAAAGAAACCCTAAACCCTAAACCCTAAACCCTAAACCCTAACCCTAAACCCTAAACCCTATCTGCTTCTTTGGCAGCTGCCATGGATTCGGACACCTCCTGCAGCTCCTCGGATGACGATGTCATCTCAGATGCACAAGAGGCCGAGCTCATGCCCAAAGACCCTGGGGGTGTGTGCTTCTCCTGGAAGCGCGGCTGCATGCTTAGGCCTAGGGCCTAGGGTTTAGGGTTTAGGGTTTAGGGTTTAGGGTTTAGGGTTTAGGGTTTAGGGTTTAGGGTTTAGGGTTTAGGGTTTAGGGTTTAGGGTTTAGGGTTTAGGGTTAATCTCCCCCCCCAGCCCGCGGAAGCCCTCTCCAAGGAGAACCTTTGCCGCCTATGTTGGACCAGGCCGCGGATGAGACCCAAAAAAATTTCCTGAAGCACCCCAACCATCCCCAACTAAACCGCCTCAACCCTACACCCCCGCCCCCGGCCAAAAAAATAAAAGAAAAAAACAAAAAACAGCTCCTACAAAGTGAGCCCTACCACCCTACCACCCCCCTCCCCCCACCCAAACAACAAAAAACAAGCAGCCCACCCACACAACCATAGTCTCCTACAAGAAAAAGTGAGAGGGCCCCCCCTTTAAAAAAGGCTGGCTGATGAGCTTGGCTTACCTGGATCCTGGCAACCTGGAGAGCGACCTGCAGAGTGGCGCCTTCACGGGCCACAGCCTTCTCTGGGCCCCTCGGTTGTGGGGGTTTAGGGTTTAGGGTTTAGGGTTTAGGGTTTGTATTTTCTTCATGAAGTAGAAGGGGGGGAACCGACATCGGATTTTAAAAGCCAATCGTGTTAAGAACCCCCCCCATGTCTTAATTGATTCTTTCTCCCCCCTTGGGCCGGGGTTTGAGGGGGGTTTGTAGTTGAGTTCCGGGTTTGGGGTTTCTTAGTTGAGCGGGGGTTTATTAAAATGAAGTCAACATTGTAGTTCCATACGGTTAACATAGATGAGAGCGAGAGAAAGGATTTTTTGGGGTGTATGTTGCGCTCTCTTTGTCTTTAATATACAAACAAAGAGGCACGACAAACGAATCTAATTGGACCTCTAGAAGCGGGCGCCGACCGTGGTTCGAGTTTAACACCTGTGTTTAGGGTTTAGAGCTTAGGGCTTAGGGTTTTTAGGGTTTAGGGACGTAGCATGAGCACGCCGGTTCCGCTGCCATGCACCTAGCCAAAAACAACAAACGACAGACCACAAACCACAAACGACAAACCACAAACCACAAACGACAACGACAACAGCGACAACAGCAACAGCGACAACGGCAACAAGGGCAACAGCAGCAACAGCAACAGCAGCAACAGCAACAACAGCAACAACAGCAACAACGGCAACAACAGCAACAACAGCAACAACAGCAACAATAGCAACAACAGCAACAACAGCAACAACAGCAGCAACAGCAACACCAGCAACACCAGCAACACCAGCAACTCAGCAACACCAGCAACACAGCAACACCAGCAACACCAGCAACAAGAGCAACAAGAGCAACAAGGACAAGAACAACAACAACAACAACACCAACAACAACAACAACAACAACAACAACAACAACAACATTTCATTTCATTTCGGACGCATGTGCGGGTCATGTCCCACACCTTGGCGGGCATCGAGGGTGAAAATTGGGTAACCTATTTGTCGGGACCTGAGCTATTCCGATGTCAGAGCCTCTACGAGCTAGGTGGGTTGCGCCAATGTACAAGTCTCTGCGAGATTGGTCTTCAACCTCAGCAGGCGAGTCGGTAGGCAGGCCGGGTCTGAGGGCATCGGCTATGCGGGCCGGCACTTGTGTGTTATGAGGCATGAAGGCTTTTCTGCAATGCGAGCGGAGGTCTCGAGTCGTGATTTAGTCCAGTATTCGGACTATAGGAGCTTTGGGATGCTATGGCAACAACAACAACAACAACAACATCCAGTGCAACAAGTAAAACAAAAAAACGCAAGGACATCAACAACAACAGCAGCGATACCAATAGCAATGACAGTTACTACACCAACAAAATTAAACGTGGCCGTTCAACAAAGTGCAAGCACATGTTTTATTCACTGATTTCAAAGAAGTGATTCACAAATGAACGTAAAGATATAGAAAACTGAGTTCTTGTTATTAGCAGATATGTGTTATGTTGAGCGCTAAGCTAAATAAAGCCCAAAAGGCCCCAGCCATATATATATATATTATATACACATATAATTACTTGAATATATATATATATATATATATATGTGAGAGAGAGGGACCTTTATGTACTCTGTTGCTACCTATATATGGAGAACCTATGGAAACATTAGAATATTCAATTTTTTCAAATTCTTGGGCTCCGAAAACAATATAAATAGTTTAAATCACGGAATTAAGATATTTAAAGTATTTAAATTCTCGGGCCCCTAAAATAATTTGAATGATTTAAATCCCAGAATTAAATTATTTAACTTATCTTCGAGGCCCGAGAATTTAAATAATTTAAATAGATTCCAGATTTCTCCGAGCCCAGACCATTTAAATAATTTAACTAATGTAAATAATTCAAATAAACTGAATAATTTAAATAATTTAGATAATTTAAATAATGTAAATAATTTGAATAATTTAAGTGATTTAAATATTTTAAATAAATCAAATAATTTAAATAATTTAAATAATTTCAATAATTTCAATAATGTAAATCATTTAGATAATTTAAATGGTTTAACTAATTTAATTTATTTAAATAATGTAAATTAATTTAAATCAGGGATTTGAATTATTTAAATTCCCCGGCCTCGGAAATGATTTAAAAATTTAAATGCCGGAATTAACTTATTCAAATTGTTTAAATCTCAAGCCTCGAAAATAATTTAAATATTTTAAATACGAGGCGCGAGAATCTAAAAAAAAATGAATAGATTCCGGATTTCTCCGAGCCCAGACCATTTAAATAATTTAACTAATTTAAATAGTTTAAATAACTTAAATATTTTAAATAAGTAAATTTTTTTAACTAATTTAAATAATATAAACAATTTAGATAACTTAAATAATTTTAACAATCTAAATAATTTAAATAATTTAAATATTTTACATAATTTATATAATTTAAACCATTTAAATGAGGGATTTAAGTGATTTCAAATTCTCCGGCCTCGAAAATAATTTGAATAATTTGAATTCAATAATTTAAATGGATTCCAGATTTCTCCGAGCCCAGACCATTTAAGTAATTTAAGTATTTTAAATATTTTAAATAACTTAACTAATTTAAAAACACTTTAAATAATTTAAACCATTTACATCAGGGATTGAAATCATTAAATTCTCCGGCCTCGAATATAATTTAAAGAATTTCAATACCGGGATTAATTTATGTAAGTTATGTAAATTCGCGGGCCTCAAAATAGTCTAAAAATTTTAAATCACCGATTTAAATTATTTAAATTATTTAAATTTTTTAAACTATTTAAATTATTTTCGAGGCCCGAGAATTTAAATAATTTAAATAGATTCCAGATTTCTCCGAGCCCAGACCATTTAAATAATGTAACTAATGTAAAAAATTTAAATATTTTAAACAATTTAAATAATTTAAATCGGTTTTTTTAATTTTTTTAAAATATTTTCGAGGCCCGAGAATTAAATCATCTAAATAATTTAAATCAGGTATTTAAACTTTTTACATTATTTTCGAGGCCGGAGAATTTAAATAGTTTAAATCCCTGATTTAATTTGTTTAAAGTATTTAAATTGTTTAACTTGTTTAAATCATTTAAATGGTCTGGGCTCGGAGAAATCTGGAATATATTTAAATTACTTAAATAATTTAAATAATTTCCATCTAAATTATTATATTTTTCTCGAGGCCCGAGAATTTAAATAATGTAAATAGTTTAACTGCGGTATTTAAATTATTTAAATCATTTTCGAGGCCGGAGAAATTAAAAAACTCAAATCACTGATTGAAATTTCTTAAATTTTTTAAAATTATTTAAACTATTTGAAGGGTCTGGGCTCGGAGAAATCCGGAATCTACTTAAATTATTTAAATTCTCGGGCATCGAAAATAACTTTTAGATTTACATAATTTAAATCGGTGATTTAAATCATCTTTAAATCATTTTCGAGGCTCGAGAATTTACATAGTTTCAATATTTTAATTCCGGTATGTAGATTATTTAAATTATTTTCGAGGCCGGAGAATTTAAATAATTTAAATCCTTGATTTAACTTATTTAAGTTATTTAAATTATCTAAATTATTTAAATGGTCTGGGCTCGGAGAAATCTGGAATCTTTTTAAATTATTTAAATTCTCGGGCCTCGAAAATAATTTAAAGAATTTAAATAGTTTAAATCGGTGATTTAAATCATTTAAATTATTTTCGAGGCGCGAGAATTTAAATAGTTGAAAAAAATTAATTCCGGTAGTTAAGTTTTTAAATTATTTTGGAGGCCGGAGAATTCAAATAATTTGAATCACTGGTTTAAATCTCTGATGAAGGATGTCCCCTGTGAGGGCTTGGACACCCTCCCGCGTCCGAAATTGAAATACTTCAAATAATTTAATTTCGGTATTTAAATTATTTACATCATTTTCGAGGCCGGAGAATTAAAAAATCTAAGTCCCTGATTTTAATTATTTGAATTATCTAAATTATCTAAATTATTTAAGTTTTTTAAATTATTTAAATTATTTGAACTATTTAAATGGTCTGGGCTCGGAGAAATCTCTGATGAAGTATGTCCCCTGTGAGGGCTTGAACACCCTCCCGCGTCCGAGAATTTAAATAATTCAAATAATTTAATTCAATGACTTAAATTATTTAAAGTGTTTTCGAAGCCCAAGAATTTAAATACTTTAAATCATTTAATTCATCAATAGGTTCTCCACATATAAAGAAAAACAGGTAGCAACGTAGTACCCCTTACACCTTTAGGCCTCCCTTAAACAGCACTAGGGTTTAGGGTTTTAGGGTTCAGGGTTTAGGGTGTAAGGTTTAAGGTTTAGGGTTTAGGGTCTAGGGTTTAGGGTTTTAGGCTTAGATTTAGGGTTTAAGGTTTAAGGTTTAAGGTTTAGGGTTCAAGGTTCAGGGTTCAGGGTTCAATATTGCTCTAGTTGAGATTGCTGCAAGTGGCTGCGACATTTAGGGTCTGGAACGCAAGTCGTTTGTCTGGATTGAAGTAATTGCTTGCAGTGTGTCACAGCTTGAACATCAACTTCTATGCATGCCTGAGGATAGCCCTTGGCTCATGCTGTTTTGCTGCGGTGATACTCTTGTGCCTCTGGGGATTCAAGTGTGTGTGGATGGTTGATCAATTAGTTCAATTCGACACGTGTTGAAACACAGACAAAGGAGTCTAGCACTTGTGCGAGTTCTCAGATGTCAAACCTCTATGCGCAGTGAAGGTGACTGCTGGGTTTTTTCGCATCAGCAACCTACCAATCAACTGGGAGAAGCTTGAGTAGGAGCATGTGTGTTAGGGTCCGAAAGATGGTGAATTATGCCTGCGAAGTGCAGAGTCAGATGAAACTCTGATGGAGGCTCGTAGCGGGACTGACGTGCAAATCGTTCGCCATACGTGGGTACAGGAGCGAAAAACTAATCGAACCATTTAGTACCTGGTTCCCTCCGAAGTTTCCCTCAGGAGCTAGAGTTGAACAATTTTATCAAGTAAAGCGAATGATGAGAGGAATCGGGGACGCGTTGTCTTCGACCTATTCTCAAATTTTAAATGGTCAAGGTTGAGAGGTTAAGGCCATTGTACCTATGCAGTAGGATGTTCCCCCGTATACTAACAGTCCTAATAGGTATTTTTCTACCCCCTAATATAATCCCTACTAAGGACTGTTAGTATAACGGAGAACATCCTAACTTCAAAACAACGACGGAGTATGCTGCAGAAAAATGCTTAAACACATATATGAAATAACAAAAAACACTGTTTCGATTTCTATATAAGAACTTTACGCGCGCAGGTTATTGTTTAACGTCAACGACGCGTATGTTCTTCGGTGCCGGCCTTTTTTTGAGACCAAGTGACGCCAGTGTTATTTCAACCGGATGTGCTGATATCGGCACATCTGGAAAGCAGCCTGCTGCTATCGGCAGGCTGAACAGGGTCTGCTGCTATCGGCAGACCCTCTCCCCCTTCTTGTGTCTGTCTGTTGCCGAGTTTGACAGGCTTTGGTGGCTATGGAGCACGCCATCAAGGACGCGTCGCCAAAGTTTAAACTAAATTCGTATATGTTTTGAAAATGTCTGGCCAGGATGAGCAAGAAGCGCGGCGCCTTCCAGCTGCGTTTAGAGTCTGCCGCCAAGTTTACTCGTAAAATTTGAATTAATGTGACATTATTTCAAGTATGAAAATATATATTTTCTAAAAAATTTTAGTAGTATGTGCATGCTGAGGCTACAACTCGATGGCACAAGCAGTCCGTGTGAGCCTCAGTTGTCTGCAGAAAAAATGTTGAAGCTTTAACAACCAGACATCTCAGGCTACCAGCTCACAGGAGAGAGTGGCCTCTGCGTTTTGCTTAGATATTGAAATGTAGACAAAAAATCTATCTTCAATCTACATATGTGCTGAGGACACAACGCGATGGCGTAAGCAAGAAAAATATTGGAGCTTAAGCCGTTTAACAGCGTGTTCCTTAGATATAATCCTTGGCATCTGGCCTGGATTCTTTTTTTGCGGGTTTTAAAAACACAAAAACCTTAATATTGATATACACTATGCGTAAACGCTGGAGGCGCGACGTCCAGGGCCATACCAAGTCTTGCTCTCAGACTTGTGTGTAGTTCACAAGAGAAATCTTTTTGCTACAATCAAACAAAATATCTTCCCAGAGTCCGCAGCCAGCCACTTCCTTATTTTCTTTACGTCGTCAACACAGTTGCAGAATGTTTTTTTTCTAGAAAACCTGCAGGTGAAGCCTCTCAGTGAAGATGATCGTCGCCTACTCGGCCGCTGGTTTGAGGACAGCAAAAGTATGTAATATTAGAATTAAATTATGTTTTATGTTTTCATTCAGGAAAAGGAGAATCAGAAGCGAGAAGAGGCCCGCAACTGTATACTTATCGAATAAAATGAAAAAATCGAAGCAAAATATGGAGTACGTGAAAACTGGCACCAAGTTCATCCGCGCAGCTTCTGGAACGGCCACTTGCTTATTGTTTTTTCTTGCGGTTATAGTTTTTAATTATGTATTTCTGAGGTCTGGCCTGTTGAGACCGAGAGTGAGGAGACGTCTTGCTTTACTATTTTAAGTTGATGTATTTGTATATAGTATGAAGCGGACGAGCTCAAGGAGCCAGTGCGGGCCTTATTTGTTGTCTAAAGTTAAGCGTAGTCTTGAAGATAGTTTTCTTTTATGAGTATTCTTGGTTATTTCGTTTAAGAATCCTATTTAACACAAGGAGCTTATCGCAGATGATGAAGGACATGACAACGTGCGCGCCTTATTTTGTGAAGCAGTGTTAGATTTTTTATAGGTATTTTCTGTTTATGTAGTTCAAGTAAAATGCTAAAAAGTAAACGCGCAGGACTCTGAGGAAGAAGCGGACGTTACTGACAAGCCAGTCTGGGTCTTGCTTTCTAAATAAACTGAAGTTCATATATTCGTACATATAGATGCTATATTTGTACGAGGCTGACGAAGTCATGGAGCCAGTGCGGACCTCATTTGTTGTCTAAAATTAAGCATAGTCTTGAAGATAGTTTTTTCTTTTATGAGTATTCTTGGTTATTTGTTTAAGAATCGTATCCAAAACATGGAGCTTATCGCAGATGATGAAGGACACGACAACGTGCGCCTTATTTTGTGAAGCAGTGTTAGATTTTTTATAGGTATTTTCTGTTTATGTAGTTCAAGTACAATCTCAAGGGTGATTTGTTTAAGCATGTTGTTTACAACAAGCAGGACTGCCCAAATGATGACAAGTACGAACACGCTTGCATCTCAGCATCTGGAACGCATTATTTTAATTGTTAAGCTTTAAGAATTGTTTGCTAAGGGCCGATACATGCGGCTGCTGCTGCGCTGAAGCTGAGCATGGTGACATGCAGAAAAAAACTGAATGGCAGTGTAGAGAATTTCTTTTGCTATTTTTATATGCATTTTTGAAATAGATGTGGATTGCAATTGAAAGTATAAGCAACAGGCACACAGCAGCGCCTACAGGCTATATGCATATTTGAAATAGATGTGGATTGCAATTGAAAGTATAAGAAACAGGTACACAGCAGCGCCTACACGAAAAAAAGCATCACAATAGGCTACAAACAGTTTTCAACATAGCAGTGTAGGGTTCTTTGTTTGGTGTGCTTGGATGCATTTCGTAAATATATAACCATCGCAATTGAAAGTACAGGGAAAAGGCTTACATGAATAACTGCAGCAAAAAGAACATCACAACAAGGTAAAAAACAATTTTCAGAATACCAGTGTAGGGACTTTATTTTTGGTCTGTTTCGATGCATTTGTCCTATACACAATAAAAACCATTGAAAGTATGAGCAACAGGCACACAGCAGCACCTGCGCGAAAAAAACATCACAACAAACTAAAAACAATTGTCAGAATAGCAGTGTAGAGATTTTTTAGTATGCTTTGGTGCATTTTGTAAATATATAACAATCGCAAGCAGGGTTAGGGTTCAGACTTCGGTGTTTAAAGCTTAGGGTCCATCTGCAGCCTTAAGTGGCTATATGCATGCATGCAGAGCCATATCTTTAGCCATTACATAAAACGACTGCTTGGAGCGATACAAAAGAACGTGGTAGACGCGCTCATATATAGTTCCATATATGTTTATTTATTAAGTTTTGCTTTACTTTTTTAAGTGGCTATGTAAAAATTAAGCCAAAAGAACCCTAAAGGTCTCAGGCTCATATATATATATATATACAATGTATATCTATTCGTGAAGCTGCCTCCCTATGTCCAGTAGGTATAGGGATAGTTTGGCCAGACTTCTCACACAAAGTCACGTTCCGGAGCCTTCAAGCAGCCCAGGTCTTGCTGCTTTGCAGCTTGCTCTGCATTTCGTTGCTGAAGGGTGCTCGGCCTTGCTAGTCTGGTTGGCAGTGTTGCAATAGAGGCTGCCTACACGTCTTACCCCCCCCATCCTTAGTTTCCTTTCTTTTTCCTCTGGCCGCACGAAGACAAACTGCGCATCTGGATGCATAAGTTGGGATGTTCCCCCGTATATTAATAGTCCTGAACAGGGGTGATGATATGGTGTACTAGAAGCCCCTTTTTAAGGACTGTTAGTTAAGGCACAGTGGCCGGCCTGATCTTGCAAATTCTGGCAGCTCGACTGGCTGTTGTGACAGGACATGGCCGTTTAATCGGAAGAGTACCCCGATTTGGGGCTATCGGCTGTGATACGAAGACGCGTTTCAGACACCGAGACTCCCTTGCTGACACCGAGTTTTAAAGCTTTTGTTACTCCCTGCTAACTGTCGACTCCCACTTCGGAAGTATGTGACTCTTTCAGAAATGGGTGTTTACGAAAATAGGGGACCCCTACAGTATACCCCTAAATAGTAGGATCCCCTTATAAGAAGGACCCCAAGAAGGTACCCCTAAACCCTACACCCTAAACCCTAAACCCTAAACCCCCAAATGGTCCGCCATGGTGATGCAGAAGCTGCGGGGATAAACCGTGCCCTTCCCTTACCCTGTGCTTTGCGCTAAATTGGCGCGTTTGAGCTCCGTGTTCCATCCCACCCTTCATGCCGATCCCCTGATTCCCCGTTAGGCTTCCGTCTGGGGTTTAGGGTTCAGGGTTTGGGGTTGGGGTTTTGAGATGGCGGCTGCCACAGCTTCTGGAGAGTTCTGAGTGCTGCGCAGCTTCCGATCGGGGCTTCCGAATCGTGTTACCCTGTTCCTAAACCCTAAACCCTAAACCCTAAACCCTAAACCCTAAACCCTAAACCCTAAACCCTAAACCCTAAACCCTAAACCCTAAACCCTAAACCCTAAACCCTAAACCCTGTTGGCATGGAGAAACATGTGAGGACGCGACCTCGCCCAGACCTGTCGGCTGGGATACCCACTTCCGCTGTCCCGGCTGCTGTGGGTCATGACGGACGCTCGCCCTAAGACTTACTGTCTGTAAGTGGGGAATGTTGGAACAGAAAAAGCGGTGACTATGGCAGTCCCGCAAGTTCGTTCGTTCCCTACTAACCAACGGTAAGAGCAGGCACGGAGACAGACGCTGCAGCAGAATGGCATAGCTATGCCCATAGTGCGCACGGCAGTAGACGCAGCAGATGTTTCCAATAAAACCCAGACATTCGCCTTTGAGCATGCTCAAGTATACTACGCTATACTATTGTGTACAAAGGAGCTGGCCATCATCGGTGCCGACATACAAGAGGTGGTCGGCACAGGCATTGCCTTGCAGCGCCTGAACTTGAAGCAGTCTGTCCTTTTGTTTGGTGAGACTTTGAGTCCTTCTTAGTATCCCCACAATCCTGTAGCGCTACTAGCTAGTACTAGGGGGGTGGAGGGGGATTAAACTTCTGCTTTGTGGGGATGTTGCGCACCTCTCAGTCTTAGGGTGCTGTTTGGATGGCCCCTTTGGGCTGCTCGGAAGCGTCGAGCGCATGAAAGCCCTTTCTTGGAGGTTCATGGTACGTATGAACCAGTTATAACTGTACCTATAACCATATGAGGGCACTCAAGGGGCATGTAAGTGGGTTAAACGTGCCCTGAACCTCCAAGTAGGCTTGGGGATGTTTAGGGGGACCCAGGTTGGCTCTTTGGCTACTGGTGTCGACACGTTCACTTTCCTTTTGATCCACTACCTCGGGAAGCGCTTCCTGGAGGTCTTCATCTTAGTGCTGATCTCCCTGCTCCTCGGCAAGAGCTAACGGTGGAGGGGGGCTTGCACATGGGAGCCGTAGCCAACTCCAGCTTGTTCCAGCGGTTCAGGCTACTTGTCTGCTACTTGGTGAACTTCTTCTTCATGCCCCCATCTCCTGCGGAGTTCTTCCATGGTTTTCTCTTCAAATGCAGTGACTATGCCGTGCTGCAGCTGGTGGGGACCGTGGGTGCCGTGATCATGCCGCACAACTTGTACCTGCATAGTGGCATCTGCAAGCAACGTCTCAGACTCAGAAAGTCAGGAAGTGGTTCAAGAGCCATTCGGGCACTGTTTGTTGTGTCAGGCTTGTGTAGTTCTCTGGTGATGTCGCGTGCAAGACGTCTTCGGTGTCAGTACTGTCTGCCCAGTGCAGGCACTGCGGACAGGAAGGATGTGGAGCATGTCCGACAGGCCAACAAATACACGGCAGCGTCTCGACCAACTTATGCTCGGCAGTGTAGCGCTGGGCAAGTTTCTTAGTCCTTGAAGTTTCTTGGGTTCCACGGTTGACGTGCTTGTGCAAACTGAGGTTGACTCCAGCATAGCGCTCTTAATTTCTTTCCTGATCAACGCGGCCCTTGTGTCCACGTTTGCCACCGGCTTCTTCAGCGAAGACTGCGCGCAGGCCGACGACGGGCCGCTGGCCTGTATGCCCAGCACGGGCTATGGCGACAGCTGCTCGGGAGGCGACTGCAGTGCCTGCAGGACGAAGGCAGGCAGCGCGGGCTTTTGTGGGGAGATCGGCTTGGCCGAGGCAGGGAATTCCCTGCGCCGGGTGTTTGGCGGCAACGGCGAAGTGGGCCGCACCATGTTTGCACTGGGCCTTCTGGCTGCGGGACAGGCTTCCACGATGACGGGGACCATGGCTGGCCAGTATGTGATGGAGGGCTTTCTCGATTGGCGCATTCCCATCTGGCTACGAACCCTCATCACACGGCTTATCTCTTTGGGGCCGGCCGTCGCCGTGGCGGTGCTGACCAGCTCCTCCCCAAACTTGAACAATCGTGTGGACCAGTGGATCAATGTCCTGCAATCCGTCCAGCTTCCCTTCGCGCTTTTGCCGGTGCTTCACTTCAACTCCGACCAGTCTTTGATGGGAGAGTTTGTGCTCGCATGTAGGTATCAGGTGCTTTGCTGGTTGTTGGCTGTTGTGGTTATCTCGGTCAATGTCTACCTTGTGGCGCAATTCATGCAGGGAGGAAGCCTTCTGATGCAGGGATTAATGCTGCTTTTCTTTATCGTCTATGGCGCCCTCATCACGTTTACCATTTCAGCCGATCTGAAGCGCGCCTATCGCTTCCTGACCCGCGGTGCAAGCTCAGACATCTAGGCCCTAGGCTGACCTGTCCTGGATATGTGGATAACCTCTAACACGGAGGATCAGCTAAGATGCTAAGTCATGTTTGGCAAGGTTTTGTAACCTGGCTGCATTCAGATTCTTATCGAAGGGGCACGCATACTTCCAAAGACGAAGGAACGTGCTATGCCTGCGTGATTTCACTGCGCATGGGGGGGGAAGGGGGGGAGGGAGTTTGTCGCAAGTGAGTTGCGACGGACAGACATCCGACCCGTGGATGCACGTCCAATAGCTATTGCCAAAGATCGATTATGTGGAAGGGGAAAACAGGGTGACTCCTGCACACCGCTGTCAGATGTGTTCTGGTGTTATGAACAGACTGCTGCGACTTTTTACATCTCCGAAATCTCCACTACTTCCGTGACTTGGCAAGGGCCGGGCCCTTGTTGGCCCACGGGGCCTTCATTTGGTTTGCCCTGTGGTCTCTGTTCAGGCCAGTATGTTCTCCGTGCACCGCTCTGAGGCCCTAAAAAACCTGAACCCTCAACCCTAAAGCATCCTTGTCAGGAACACGGTTCTCAAGCATCTCCTCCTCAAAGCCGACATCTGGCCCGAGAAGATGTCGACGCCTTGGGACTCGTCGAGTGAGAGTGAAGGCGCCAGGCAAAAGAGCCGAAACTTCGCACGTGTCGCTGAGGTCTAGGTGCCAGAGATGTTTGCTTGGCCTTGAAATCCACAAGCAGAAGGCCCGGGCATGTGAACGATGGCATCAGGCAGATCAGGCGGCGACTCAAAACCAGTCTTTGGCAGGCAGCTTTTGACGAAGACGAGCGCGGCTTGTGGATTGACACCAGCTCCCTGAGCAAGCAGGAGCCCTCCTTCTCGGCTACATGAAGCTGCATCAAGCCATGTGAGAGAGACTGGCAAGCAGCGGCAGAGCAGGCACGACCTACCACTCTGTTCTGGAGGAAAGACACTACATGTTCGTTGCGATGTGTGATACGCAGGAGCCTTAGATCCAGCTGCTGTAGAGTTAGGGGACGCCTGGAAGCCTGTGCCTAAAAAGATGTGGAGGCTACATCGGTACATGAACAGCAGCCAGCGCGTCCATCCTGGCGACGTCACTGCTGCGGTTCAAGAAGCCCTGGTTCGGTGCGGCGCCTACCATTGTGTGTGAAGCAAACGGCCATAAAACGGCCACAAACAGCCTTGCGGCATTGCGGGCGAATCATGCGTTCTGTGCGGTGGCACAACGCTGTTGCAGCTGAAAGGTGCCGCAGGGCGCGCAGGAAGCGCGCCGTGCGCTTGGAGCAGCTGGACAGGCATCCAGCAAGACCTTTCAGAAGTAAACGACACAAGTCTTGTTGCAGGGAGTTCCGCGAGCAGCGGCAGCATGGTCGTCGTGGTTGCGGGCACCTAAGTCCCTTGCATGGCTGGCACCTAGGGACCTAGACCAGCTACTTTGAAACCCCGCTGCACGCCAGCGCCGGACGAGGTTTGTCTCGATTGGTTCGCTGGCAGCGGGTTATGAATGTCTCGCTTTACGGTGACCGCCAGAATGAGCCAGAGGCACAGTCGCTTTGGCCCAGATCCTCTAGCACCTTGTTGTTCGTAAGATGCCCCCCACATCTTGGATCCAAGGATGGAGCAAGAGCCAGGCTGCCGGGCCCTTAATGTGAATGCTTGAGCCTGTTGATGACTGCTGCGGTGCATGGCCTCCATCCTGCTTCTCTGCAACATTGTGGCTGAGACGGTGCGACTGAGACATGTTACATCCGCATACCGCATAAGATACCGGAAGATGTCACAGCAGATCAGGGTTTAGGGTTTAGGGTTTATCCTAAGCCTTGAGCCCTTCCAAGCGCGCGCCGTCCATCGCGCCGCTGGGATGCTGGCATTGTGGCCGACCCGACCCGGAGCGCTTCTGAGGCCAGAGTGCCGGATGCTGCGTTCACCTTCAAGTCGCAGGTCTTTCAAGGTTCTAAGAACTTTACAAGCATGCCTATTTGAAGGTTTAGATTGCCGAGGTCAGGTGGAGCCCACTGTCTCAAGAATGTTGTGTCCTGGGCGAGTCGCCGAGCCGAAGTCAGGACGGACACCTGCTACTGAGAGCATGTCGTTGCAAGGCGGTTCCTTGTTCCCAGGACTTGCTAGCTTGCACTGCACGCAGACCTCCGGTGGTCGACAGTTGGAATTGGCATGCAGACCGAGCTCGCACAGCCAGCTCGGACTGGGAGCAGCTGGTGGCATTCAGCAGGGAGGTGTTGGTTAGGTCGTATTGCCTGTCAGTTGATGAAGCCCTGACCGGAGCTTGGCAAGGTTGCGTACTCCACCTGGACGCTTTATTTGGGACTCAAGTCTTCGCAGAAGCGCTCTGTGCACAAGGCTGCCAGCCAAGAGGCCAGAGCCCGGCACGAGAGTCGATCCTGGACGTCCATGGACCTTGAACCATTTAGGGTTGCGGGAGGTTGCGGGAGGTTAAGGGTTTCACCTTACACAAAAAGGTTGAAGACGAGTACTAGCTACTGGTATCAGTCTCACGGCTTTCAGTCAGCCGGTTTCTATCAATGGAGGGTGCTTGCAAAGCAAAATATTGCCAGGTGGCGTCATGCAAGGAGCACATGCCTTGAAATCCGACATCGATGCCCGTGTGCAACCCTAAAACCCTGTAAGTCTCCGGGGCTACCTTGGTAAGACTTGCAGGTGCAGACGCCGGCATCTCCAAAGAAGTATCTTGTGCTGGAGTCGCTTGGCATGGGATGCTTTGCATTGCTGTTCTGCGTCACTTGGCAATGAATACCCTTTTTGAAGGTTCCTATGAGTACGAGGATGATAGCAATTTGTTTAGGGCAGACTCGGGGTATACCCCTACATTGAACAAACTCAGGACTGACCTGGGAGAAGTCTCGCTGCTGCTGCGTCCTGACTCAGCGCCCCGCACCGTGGAGCATGTTTGTGCGGGCCTCAGTCAGCGTGGTTGACGTTTTTGGGAGCCTCAAGCCCAAAATCCGAGACCCTAAGCCTTGCCAAGTCATTCAGGTCAGCTGGTGAACGCAGCTCTGTATGATGGATGCTACTTCTATCGCTCGGACTTCGTTCTGCAGTGCCTCGGAAGAACGCTGACGCAGCACAAAACCTTGCCCTCAACTCTGAATTCTTCAACCCTCCCCCCCCTCCCCCCGCAAAACAAGCCCCCCAAAACCACTCGAAAGCTCTCAAGCCTGAAACCCTTGGAGAGCTGGGAATGCAGAGAGGTGGGGTCTTTGGCTCCCGAGCGAGACCGAGGCACAGCTTCATGATCTTGCGTGAGGTTTCCCCTTCTTAGGGTTTTATGGGGTTCTTATAGGGTTCTTGTAGGGGTTTTACAGGGTATTTATGGGGTGTTTATAGGTTTTCAGTCTTCGGGGTTCGGGGGTCGAGAGTTAGTTCGGATAATTTGTGCTGCCGATATCGTTGATACGGAGCCCCAAATGGCAAATAGTGCCTGCCAGGGGAGTCATATGTAGAACAGCACCCCCCCCCCCCCGTGAAGCATGTATCCGGAGGTGGAGAACCCATACCCAGACATTGAAGAGAACGCCGGGCGGCCCAGACTCACTAGAGCTCAGCTGGTCACACAAGTGGCGCATGTGCGATGAGACGGCATTGAAGCCTAAACTTCCTAGGTAGGATGAGAGGGACCACTAAAAGGTAACCCTTCGTAACCCTCTCCTGGCTCTCTTAAACAACCCTGAACCCTGAAGCCTGAACCCATCGACCCGAGGAGACCCAGGTTGGCACTTTCATATCCAATTTGCCTGGCACAGTGGGCGTGGCACATGGCATTGGAGTGAACGGAAACTCGGACATCTTTATCAACCTCCAGGACAGAGTCTCGGTGTTTGGGGGACGAGTCGAGTATGCTTTCCCAAGAAAGCTTTGGCTTCTTCCCCGTGGTGTAGCTAGCGCTTTGGGGACCGTAGGACAACAGCTATCTGGACACCATGTCGCTGGGCTTCTGCGCGTCGAGCTCAGTTGTCTCCCAGTTGTGTTGAGGGGGCACTGTCTTGGTAGAGTGGGTGCAACATGGTGCAATGTGGTTTTCATGTGGGTTTGTTTCTCCAAAGCTCTTAAACATAATTTGCGGGTTTCAGGAGGGTTTTTTCCTCAGGTCTTTGCAGAGCTGGCGGATGCTGAGAGTCGTCGCGTTGTGAATGAGCTTGCGGCGGCTGTGCTCAGAGATGAGAAGCCCGCAGCCGGTTTCGATAAAGCAGCTTTTCTGTCTTTTTGGAGTAAGGCGAGTCGGGTTAGTTGCATCTCCACCCGCGCTGCTCTCTGAGGCAATCGTACGGGTTGCTGGCTTAGTTGCGTCAGCGTTGGGCCCTGCGCAAGTTCTTCCAGTTTCCCAAGTTCGAAGCCATTCTAGTCCCTAGACCTCGAAAGCGAGAAGCTTGACAGCTTGACACGCTGAAGCCCCAACCCTATATCCTGCACCATTCTCGCAGCTGTCACCTTGAGCATCTTAAGCCCTCTGTGTGGATGCCCGCGGTCTGCCAACCCAGGCCTCCATCACGAGCCAGCAGCAAAAGGTGAAGAGGCTGGATGCGCCCAGCAGAAGTGTTCGAATCAGTTGTTGAGACCTCCTCAGGTTGCCACTGGCCATCTTGATGGAGAAGAGCTACAACGCCTTCCGCGATGAATGGACTGGATTCTTTCAACCAGTTGTGAAAACCGAAGAAGAGACACCATGAGACACCTTGAACCCCCGTAGCTTTCTAGTAGCTTCCAAGTAGCCTCCTAGTGCCAAAGTCCAAGCACAGCGGGCTCGTCTGCGACAAAGTGACGCAGGCTCTCGATCGAAAGCACCATCGGGAATGCTTGGGCATAAGTTAGACCTTGCTTTCCGCCAAAGATGCGGTGCCGCGGAAGCAGGTCAAACCAAGCGAAAGTGTGTGTTGTGGTGCTGCACTCTAAACATACCTGCTAAAGCCCTATCCACCAAAGCATGGAATTTCCTACGTTGCTTTTGTCGCTTCTCTCAACTTGTGCGATCAAGGCCTTGAGACCCTCCTGAATTGGGCTGTGGCTGATCCTGGTCGTCGCGTGCGTGGCCTGCCTCAGAAGGCGTTCCGTGATATGCCGTCATTTCATGCGTTACTTTGTTGGGACATCCTCAACAACTCGGGGGACTCCGCATCTGTTGCAGGCCCTGCACATGGAGATGGAGCAGACCCATGAGTTTCTCGCGGAGGAGTTCTACGATGCGTAGGTCTCCCAGTCCGGGTTTGTCTCTCAACATGCACAGTGCTCAAGTGCATCAGAAAGCCCATAACGTTCAGCCAAGGCTCCTCCCAGTGTGGCAGGAGACAGAGTGACTTCTTGACTTTTGCCCACGTGCCAAAGCATTCTCACGTGCACAGGAGATCACAGAGGGCCGGGGTCCACAGGTGTATCCACGCCAAGAGGCAGGGTCGTGCGGGTGCCGCAACATCACCCGGCGTGCCGTCATTGGCAGGAGCAACGTAGGGTGACATGCGTGTCGCAGTTGATGTGCTGGGCTCAGCTTCTGAATCGGCTGCCTGAAACAGCATAAACAGCTTGTGCGACTCTGCAGGCCTCAAAGGCAGGCTCCAGATGCCGAGGCCTCGCCATGTCATAGACCTTGCCCTGTCATGTGCAGTATGTGTTGTCACTGTTGTCACCCGCAATCTACTTGCAGTGTAGTCCCGGAGATGAGCACGACACCTGGCACCCGAAGGCCTCAGAAGACAGCAGCAACAAAGATGGGGAGAAGGCAGACGGCCCTTTGTGCACATCTGCAGGCAACCGAAGCAAGAATTGACGTTCAATACATTAAGACAGGACGAGGTGGCCGGGTCCATGGGCAGCTTGCATGGGAGCAGGGGGCTCAACATGTTTGAAATCCTGTTTAGTTGCCATGAACAGATGTGGCTTTGAGGCACCATGCGCTTGGAAGCCCTGCTGGGCCGAACGCAGCCTTCGCAGACAGACCGCGCTGAATCCGGTGGGCCCGCGCCTTTGGGGCCCGGACACACTATGAATATCCATGCTACACCAAGTCCTCTTAACATTTCTGAAATCCTTTCAACGGTGGGACGTGCCAATACCCCAAGGCTGGAGAGGTTCCTTTGCCGCGCCCGTTCAGGTTGCAGGAGCGAGAGTTGACAGCTGCGGGCCTGTCGTGTATGCGAGCTATGTGCGAACTGCTCTAGGATCGAGCTTCCGGATCTCCTCCGAGCCCATGACGAGCTGATGGCGGAGAACTTGCATCTCCAGAAGGAGAACGAGGTTCCTTTGATTCTCTGCGTATCGCTTGTGAGCAGTGAAGGCACTACCCAGAACGTCAGGCCCTTCGCACCCGGCTGACGTCCCCGCAGCACGTGTCCCCGGGGACCCGTTCAGGATATGTCCGGGGCTTTGTACATGAAACCCTGCATGCATGTTTTCATGTTCTATGCTATTATATATACATATATGATGACACAGTCTTTGTACGTCTTTGTGCGGGTCTCCTCCTCTCAGTGTCAGCCCAAGGCCAGCCCCAAGTCGCATCGGACGGAGGCTGGTTTGAGCTGAGTTGCGCTGGAGTTGTTTTAGGATGGCTTTGGGGTCTTATACACCGCAGCTGAGGTCTCACCCTCTCGCTGGCCCAGCGATGTAGCTTCTGAGGCTCCCCTCCAGACCTCTCAGTGTGTCACGCCCCCCCCTGGATTGGATGGCAGCCCGAGGCAGAATCGGATGAGTCACCTCCGCTTGAGGCCGCGAGACGCAGAGAAGCGACTCTTGCTGGGACTCTTGCTTTCGCAGGTGGCGGTGGATGCTTCCGCGGATGAAGATATTCCCGAGGACGCTGCGCGGAGCTAGCATTTTGTTTGGGCTTTTGGCGGGCTGTGGCCGAGAACAGACAAATATCCCTGGAGGAAGGTGCGAGAGCCGGGCGCTCCTTCTGGAGGAACCAGGCGCCAACAACCCAACGGCAAAAATGTTGTCTGATGTCACTAGACACTAGTATGTCACTTAAAGTCTGACGAGCCATGCCCCTCGGTGGCTTCAGCGCGTTTCAGCTCTGAGGTACGGACGAGCCCAAGTATTATGATCGCAGCAGCTTCTTTCATTGCGACCGGCTTGGTCCGCAGCCCGAAATCCAAGGATGACAGGCCCGCGGAGCTCTGAACGCACTGCTGCGGCACAGCTCTTCAGCATTCTTAAAGGTTGCGGCTGAACCCCTTTGCAGGCGCAACGAGGTTCCGGAGGATCGCCGCAGCCCGAAATCCAAGGATGTGAGGCCCGTGGAGATCTGAACACGCCGCTACGGCACAGCTCTTCAGCATTCTTAGAAGGTTGCGGCTGACCCTCAGCCCTCAACCCTCAACCCTCAGCCCTCAACCCTCAACCCTAAACCCTAAACCCTAAACCCCTTTGCAGGCGCAACGAGGTTCCGGAGGATCCTCAAAACGGGCCTCGGGAGAGTGCGGCGCCAGCAGCTCTCCCGGTCGCGAGACCGGAACTCGAGGAAACTTGGTTTAGGGTTTAGGGTTTAGGGTAAAGAGGGTTTTTGGGGATGTTTAGGGCATACAGCGCTTTGACTTTCTAAGTCGAGTGCGAAAGAGGATGCAGCGCAGCAGAGTACTTGTGTTTGTTGTGTTTGTGTTGTGTTTGCGGTGTGTGCTGTGTTTGCTGTGTTTGTTGTGTTTGTTGTGTTTGTTGTGTTTGTTGTGTTTGTTGTGTTTGTTGTGTTTGTTGTGTTTGTTGTGTTTGTTGTGTTTGTTGTGTTTGTTGTGTTTGTTGTGTGGTTTGGGTGGGCTGTGTTGACATTCTGCTTCCAGGATGTGCTGCCACCGTCACCCCAACGTTTGGTGCCGCCAAGCCCAGTGAAGGCCACTCGCCACAAGCAACTCGCAAGTTGAAAGAAAATCGGCCCCACGAGCCTGGGAAGTTATCAAAACCAACATTTATCACTACTCAATATTCAGTATTGGTCACCAACATTGCTTTGTCGCTCAAAAAGCATCCTCCTCTTAAAAGATGCTTCTGAGTCAAACGAGAGCTGGGAGCTGCGAGGCGCTTCTTCGCTTGCCTGTGCCATCGGCCGCAGAGCGTGCGCGGTCCATGTGTGCCGAGGCGCCTCTGCGAAATGCCCCGTGCAGAAATGTGAAAGAAGCAGTCCGCAAAAACCAGTCGCTGTATTCTGCGCTGTACATTGCTTCTTCATGTCCCTACACATCGCCCCTGGTTTGTAGAGGTCGGAAGCCGCAGTCCGAACTCGGGTGGATCTGCATCGCCCTGGTGCCCCGGGATGTTGATGCAAGCCAAAAGCTGACTTGCATCGATGCAATCTTCAGGCGCAAAGCAATGCGTCCGACGAAAAATGCTGTCCGAGCCTCGTGCAAAAGGTCCGTCCTTGATGTCATGTGTGAATCTCCAAACCTATCCGAGCTGCACTCTGGAGCAATGCTGCAAGATCTGGCAGCCCTGCCTGTGGACACACAGTGTAGCCAGACATCTGAGATCCTGTGATGTAAGGCATGGCTAAAGCAGACAGAGAAGGCGCCTCAATGCACTGCAGACGCTCTACACGCCTAAATACATCTCTGCACCTGAGTGTACGGACCCCGGTGCTGACAGCTGCTGCCATATACAATGCTGGGTCAGGATTTGTCCAACAGATCTTCGGTGTGAGAGCCTTAGCGTGCCATGGCTTTATAGCATCTTATCTGTGCACCTTCACATGCCAGGTCTGGTCGGATGGTGCCCTTCGAGTTCATAGGTGCCCAATGCCCTCTGTTTGCTTTTGAAGCTTTTGCAGTTCCTGCGCTGCTCCGCGAGAGTTATCGTATGGAGGTGCAGCTCGTCCCACGAATCCGGCGGCTTGGCCTCAGGTGGAGTGAGCGAAGTCTGGGGGCACCAAGCCTCCAGAGCGCACCCACCGGGATAAGGTCACTTAGAGGGCTTCCTGCGATCTCAAACATACCTCAGCTAGGTTTCTGCAGCAGGTATCTACATATGCAGGTATCATAACACTGCCGAGATGGCACTCTGTGAGCCGAATTCGGACGGCGTGAATTTTGAAACGTCTGACATCCTGCAGGGACAAAGACGCACAGGAAAGGCCGTCGCACTCCGTGCAGAGCTTGAGAGCCATGCTGCCAATCTGTACAAAATCTGAGGGCAGCCAAAGAATGGCCTCGGCCTTGCCTTGCTTTAAGCAAGGTGCCCAATGCACCCAAGGCTGCTGAGCGAAATGCACGGGTCTGGGTAAATAAGCCTTTTGACGCCCGTCTCCCAGCGAAGATCTGGCGTACCCACCGCACAGAAATCACGAGCTGGGCCACAGTTTTAAGGTACACAGCGCGGACCCTCGGGGAAGCCACGGCAAAAAACTAAGCAACGGGCGCCACCTGATTCAAGCACCAGCCTGCGTCCAAAGTCGGCTCATCTTCTCCTGCACCGCGCAGGAGAAGATGAACCCTATCATGGAGGCAAGACTTTGCAGCGCCCCGAACGTTCGCGCTTAGCTCTGGCCCCCGGCGCGCTCCGGGTAGATGTTCTTTTTTTTTTGTTGCAGCTCATGCTCATGCTGCAGGCTATGGTGACTGCTTTGCTGATCAAATGCCCGGACGATCCATGTGATTTCATGATGAAGGCCATGTTTCCTTCTCCCCCTGCTAAACCGAAGTTGCATCTTCTCCAGCACTGAAATCCGCATCCTTGCGCCAGTGGCTGCTGGAGCAAGATCGTTACGACCGCGGCGAGTTTGGAAAGCCGGTGGATGAAGCGGAACTGGCAAAACTCAGGACATCGCCCATGGGTGCTGCCATTGTGCCATGTGCTGTCCGCTGCCCGCTGCCTGCGAGACGCGCTGCGCTTCCAGGACGGAGGTGGAGAAGCTGAAGGCTGACAAGGCAGGCGCTGAGAGAATAAAGAACGTTGTGAAGAGATCGCCCAGCTTGGTGACTTGCCATGAATATCATGGAGTCATGAACAGGCAAAGCTTGAAGAAGCAGTGAAGCCCTAGACGGTCTAGATGCACACTTGCACATCTGCTCCATGAAAAACATGCCCCGGTTTGGGTCTCCGAGGCCATGCTTTGAGGGATGTGCACTGTAAGGCGCTGTCAGGACAAGGTTTTTAGTCATGGAGCATCCAGTAGCCGTTGAACCGAATCGCAGAGCATTTGCCGTCTCACTTTCCGCGGTCTCCTAGCACCGGGCTTGCCCATCCTTTTGATCTGCAGACGAAGGCTGGTGCTGACCGTCAATCTCGAGCAAGTTGTGGGCTTTGCATCGTATGATATAGTATGTGTTTCAGTGTTCTACAATCTTCCACACTATTCCACGGTGTTCCACGTACGTGAGTGTTGTGGCTGCGAATGGCATTTGGCGCACCGCGGGGGCGCAGTTGAGGATCGTCTGTCTCCAGGGTCTGTTGCTGCACCTCAACCCAAGTCCCATTGACATTTCTGTGTTGGTGAACTGCTCAGCTGTGCCGTATGATATGGACACTATGGGCGAACTCTCCAGCTGCTGCAAATTGCAGTGGGTGACTTTTCGTGCGGAAGTGGAGGACTCCAAGTTTCACCAACCTTCTCTCCCGCACACTTGGAGACGCCCATGTGTGTATACAAACATTGTGTAACTGTTGCCTGACGAAGTTCTGAAGTATGCTTGTCGACTTTGAACTCGCGGAAGCTCTCGTGAGGAAGTCGTCTCGCGTTGCAGAGAGATGTCCAGAACTCTAGACCCGTTTCTGTCATTGTCAGGGGCTTTCTGCACACCCATGCAGCATTCCTTCTGCAGTTCTCTGTCCGCCGCGGCTTCGCTCGCGTAAGATGTGGCTGCAATGAGGCAGATGTATAAAGCCGCCAGATGTTGTGAGCATAGTCCCGACACGACATGCCAACCGCAGAACACCCTCGAGCTGCCCATGGCCTTGCAAGCCTTCGCCAGCGCGGCGTCCGCGCAGGCCCTGCTGAACTGTCCGGCTTGCTTATACCTCTGCTGCACCTCGAAGGGGACGTCTTTGGCAGGTCCAGCCGAGCTGCGATGGTAGCTGCGAGGCTGCTGCTGAGGCCGTTGGAGACTTGAACCAGCTTTAGCTGTACTCATAGGACATATCATGCTAGCGCTTGCGCGAGAGTCCATCGTGGGCCCATGGCCTCACAGGATCCATGGGGAAGTCCAAACAGCCTCAAAAGGCTCCGCAGAGTCCATACAGAGTGGAAAGGACGAGGAGGTCCGGAGCCGTCTCTGTGTGTGTGTGTGTGTGTGTGTGTGTGTGTGTGTGTGTGTGTGTGTGTGTGTGTGTGTGTGTGTGTGTGTGTGTGTGTGTGTGTGTGTGTGGTGTGTGTGTGTGTGTGTGTGGTGTGTGTGTGTGTGTGTGTGTGTGTGTGTGTGTGTGTGTGGTGTGTGTGGTGTGTGTGGTGTGTGTGTGTGTGTGTGTGTGTGTGTGTGTGTGTGTGTGTGTGTGTGTGTGTGTGTGTGTGTGTGTGTGTGTGGTGTGTGTGTGTGTGTGTGTGTGTGTGTGTGTGTGTGTGTGTGTGTGTGTGTGTGTGTGTGTGTGTGTGTGTGTGTGTGTGTGTGTGTGTGTGTGTGTGTGTGTGTGTGTGTGTGTGTGTGTGTGTGTGTGTGTGTGTGTGTGTGTGTGTGTGTGTGTGTGTGTGTGTGTGTGTGTGTGTGTGTGTGTGTGTGTGTGTGTGTGTGTGTGGGGGGGGGGGTGGGGGGTTGATGCTTCATCCGGGTCGCGGGAACGTTAGGGGGCGCATGGGCATGGGCAGTCCTGAGTGGGGTACATCGAAGATCAGAGGGGTCCGTGCCGGGGGGAGACGCCCATGCCTACACGAGGAGATCCTGCACAAAGGTGGAGGTGAGGGGCCATGTGTTTTTTTTTTCCCCAAACGCCTTAGGCCTGTGCCTCCGCGGATAGGTCATGATGAGTTGCTGAGAGTTGCAGAGAGAGGGCACGTCAGGCGGCGGAACGCCCGACCAGCGTGCTCTCGCCGAGGCGCATCAGCAGCTTTCAGTTCTGCAGGGCAACGTTGCCGGGGTTGTAAACAGTGCCATGACCTTGAATGGTACAGCTGCTTCAGTGCACTTCTGAGCAGCATGCGCCCACCCCTTCTCCTGGCTTCAGTGCGCGTAGCGGCACCAGGAGTCAAGACAAGTCAATGTATCAAGACACTCGGCTATTCGGGACTTGCTGATACCTCGATATATCTGTGGCTGGCCGTGTCGGCCGTGTTCCTTAGCATGGCCTGCCTGAACCTCCTTCTGGCCCTTCCGGCCCTTGCCGCAGTATGCCTGGGGCAGCCAAACCCGTCCAAACATGGAACGGCGTCAACGGAGTGGCTGCAAGCACTCAAAGGGCTGAAACTGCCCGGTGAGGAGAAGCGCTCTGCCGGGTGCTCAGCTGGCAAAGGCCCACAGGCGTGGGGCGGAAGCGAGGAGAAGGGATTTGAAGGCTGGGTGCCTTTGACCATCATGGACTTCATGCCGGTGAATCGCTCCTTCTACGTCCAGCTTCCCGAAGGTGTCGGTACTTCGAGGTGGGCCCCGGCGCCTCTGCTCATCGCTTTGCACTCGCAAGGGGACCAAGCAGACTCCATGGCCTACAGCCACGACTACGGAACCTTTGGGAAGTCACTGGGTTTCGTCAGCGTGTTTCCACAAGGTCTTGACGATGCTGTACCGGGGGGTGGTGACTTAGGAACTGGCTGGAATGTGGGAACTGCGGGGGACGACCAGACGTGCGTAACCGACGAGGTCACAGCAGATTGCTATGCATCATGCTGGGAACAAGGCAAGTGTGGAAGCTGCAATTGGTCAGGATGTTACGACGAGCGACTTTTCGTCTACTCCCTCATCCAGCTCATCGGTTCCGTTCTCTGCATTGATCAGAGTCGCGTCTACGTTACTGGTGAGAGCAACGGGGGAATGCTTGCCCACTACCTTGTGCAGTCACTTCCCGGGACTTTTGCAGCCGTTGTGCCCTGGTACGGCCTTCCACTCCTTGGATATGGCTTGGGGGCCGAGTTTGAGCTGGTTCGTGATCGGACGGATTGTCGGCAGACGGCCATGCTCCAACTCCACGGACGTCAAGATGACATCATGCCCGTGGCTGGAGGTGTTTCGGGTGGCTTTCAGCCTGGTTGGATCTATGAGCCCCTGAACAAGGTTCAGCAGGGCTGGGCTGCTGTTCACGACTGTGACACAGTTGCCAGCCCGACCCACACCTATTGGGATGGCGGGGAGAAGAACTTCGCCTGCTTCGACTACAAGGGCTGTACAAGCGGAAGGCGTATCATGCGCTGCTTCTACGATGGCGGCCATGGTGACCGCCCGGGCGAGGGTACTGCTGACCAGATCACTGTCTGGTTCTTGCTGCAGTATCGTTTGGATGCAGCCACGTCGAAGAATGCATCCATTGTTGTCTGACCCGTCTTCGATTTCTATGTCGACCCGGTTGGACGCGCAGACTCGCGCACTTCACGAATTCAGTCAGAGGCAGGCGTGGCTTACACTCGGCACTTGGCCCTTGCCAACGACGATGAAGTCAGATGAATGGCCGCAGTTTCATGTCTTCTAGGTAGGCGTTTTCTAGTGAGAGGCAGTCGCAGCACCGGGTTGCGGTCTTCACGCTCTGTTCTGCTACAGACTCTTGCAGACGCAGAAGATCATCACGACTTGCTTTTGGGTGTGACTGCATTTTCTGAGCTACCATGTTTCACTGGACAGTGAGACCCAAGTGTTAGAGGATGTTAGAGGAAAAGAGCTCGCCGAAATCAATCCGTTTGCAATTGCTTGGCTTCGTGAGCAGAGAGAGTGGAGCTTCCAGCAGGCAGCGTGCTGAAATGCCAGCAGGCAGACTCGCCAATTTAGCTCCGCTGTTCCATGGTCTTGCAAGTCTGCCCGTTTAGGCAGTACCCCGTCCACTGACAGCATCGTTTCGTATGTTTCTTTCAGGACTCTGGAGTACGCAATTTGTGATCTAACTCTTACACAATACAACCAATTTAATCCTCGTTAGAGGATTGCCTTCGGCGCAGAAGAAGCTTACTGTTGGGCCGGGTGCTCAGAATGCTCTTGATGCTAATTGGATCGGGCGCCCTCATCGGTCCTGCACTGCAGGAGCCCGGGCGGCTCTTCTACTCACAGATACCCCGAGGGCTGGATCTGCGCATTCATGAGATGCTTCAGCCAATCTTCTCGGTGCGCCCCGCATTCTCCATGCAGCTTGCTGTTCTTCTGCTGACGTGCCCCGTGTGTGCAGCACATGTCAGCTCGGTCCTCTGCTCTGACTGTATGAGCATGTACTTCCCCTTTGCTCCGATTTGTCAGGTTGCATTCCAAATGCCTTTGACATGGTTGCTTAATTAAGGCGAGGCGCCCTCCTCAGATCAGGTCGGTGCTTCTCCATGACCCCTTTGGGCCCTCCTCCAGGCCACTTAACACAGAAGGAGATACTGCAGGCCGATGCAGGCCGTTTTAGAGGCATAGGAACAGGAGAAACGGGAGAAGGATGAGAAGAGGAGAAGGGCGGAGGAACGTGGCGTCAACCCTTTGAGCATACAAAACATCGAAAGCTTCGTGGGCAGCTACGACACCGCACGCTCAGCCCCTGAAGCGGCGCCCCAAGCCCGAGTCGGAGGACCCGGAGGAGGAGGAGTCTGAGCAAACGACAGTCCCTGCCCAGCTAAAGGACTCTGACAACGAGGACCAGGAGGAGTCCGGCCGAAGCCCGCGATTCCCCCAGGCCGATTCTTCAGAGCTTGCCCGCCTGAAGCAGGAGGAGCGCCGGGCGCTCAAGCCCAAGCTGCCCCGAACGCTGCGAGGACCTCCGACACTGGTAGCGCTACGCGTAGAAGTGCATCAGAACCAACCAAGAATCGCTAAAGTAGGGCTTCGACAGAGCCACGATGCGGACGGAGCTGAAGATTGGTTCCGGGTCCGTGGCCGTCCCTATCTCCCTTGGACGAAGAACCTGCGGCAAACCTATTCGTCCTATCGCCAGTGGCCACAGCTCTGCGTCATGTACTCCAATTGCATGTTGCAGAGATTTTGACAAACATGTCTCACTGCTGCGTGCCTTCCAGAGCACTTCAACTGAAAGAGCACTGCGACAGCCGCAAAAAATTACTAAGCAAGAATCACATAGCACACACGGCCTGCTGTTCTTCTGCTGACGTGCCAGCACATCAACAGAGAAGACCACGCAGAGCGCCCTCACCTCAGAACCTTCTCAAGTCTCCTGAACGTTTCCTGCAGTTCACCAAGAAGCCCTTGGGCCGAAGGCTCCGCCCTGCTCCACTTGACTCGCGCCTTTCTGAAACGCAGCGGCTGGCAGGACTGGCCAAGACGGGAACTGCGGTTGTGCTGGGAAAGTTCTGCCCCCCCCCTTGATCTCTTCCTGTTTCATGATCACTCATGATCCTGTTTTCATCCCACCCCACGAAATTCACAACATTTCTCAACATTCCGTATTAAGTTTAAGGGCTGATGACAATCGTAGGTGGGCTGTGTGATGCGCTGCTCCAGAGGTTTGGGACAATGCGTTTGTCTCGCAATATAGTCATGACACTGGATTATGCAGGTAATGGCCATCATTGCTGTGGCCATGGGCCAAACAGATCCAGAAAATCAGCGTTCCATGTTGTGCAAATCGATAAGTGCGAAAATTATAGCAACAACGCCACAAGGGATGAGCAGACTTCTGCGGCTTTCTTAACTCCAGGTGTTGGTGTAGCTTCCATTCAACGTATGTTTAAGTGCCAGGCATTCCCGCAGGCTTACATTTGCTTGACGCGCTCCTCGCCCATGGTCAAGAACAGCTACTGGCTGAATCGAAGGTGAACAGGTGTCGTGAGTGCGAGTGCCCCAGTAGCTGTTCTTCTTTTTGCTTGTGTACCGGGATGGAAATAGATTGCAAGTTTGATTTTACAAGCCACATGGTTTTCAGTAGCACATTTCATGCCTCTCTGTTCGCACCGTTCATCTTTTACGCTCTCCTGCTCGTTCAACCCTTTCCCTGTGTATCTCACTCTCCCTCTCTCTCTCCCTCTCTCTCTCTCTCTTTCGCCTTTGTCTTTCATACTTCTTCTTCTCAGTCTCTCTTTCTTTCCTTCTCTCCTCATTTTAAGTCAGATAGCTGTCGGGGCATTCTCTTGCAGGCAAGCGACGATTGCGCTGGCTGGCTGCGCTTGTACATATCACACTTTCCGTGAGGTTCTTGCAAATCAGCGCACGGAATAGCACACAATACGCTTCAGCATTCTTAAGCCATCACCGAGGTGCATCTCCTGTGTGGCTGTTATTTGCCAGGCCCGGCCTGCTCTGAAGCACCAGCCATGTAGACATGGCAAGCGTTTTGTGATCATCGCACACATGCACAGTTCGGCTTTGGTGTTTTGGTGGCTGTGCCTGTGCAGTTCGTGCGCTTCTTCCCTGCGGTTAGACTCGAGCTTGACTTCGACAACATGTGGAAGGTCTCTCTCGTCCACATGTATGGCAGTTGCTTCCCACATTTCTTTTGTGGAGCAGCTCAGACACGCTTCGAGCCTGCGGATCAGCGGGGTGCCGACCGCTTCCTTGCAGAGGTGCAATGTCTTTGTCTGCCCTGGACAGCGTAATAGGACGTGCACCGCCCTTCCTTTCCCCAGGGTGGTCTTGCAGGGCGTCGCCTACGGATTGAGCAGGGCTTCTATGAGTGGTAGCTGGTAGCTCTAAATAGGAATCTTGCTCCCCCAGAGCGCTTCAGCCCGATTGCAAAAGCTGCCCGCGACCTTGCTCCGACTTCGTTGCCAAAAATGTAGTTTAAAAACAAGAGTAGACAATGTAACCATACAAAGATGATATTTTAGTATGGCGAATTTCAGACAATGCTAGAACAATATCACGGTACGAATGCCGGTGTTGATGAATGCAGCGCTGCCAGTATATCTCATGTTGCAAGCGTTCAATCAAGCAGGGCAGTGACATCTCGACAGATTGGAGTTCGATAAGTCACATGTGATAATAGCCATTAGCATGCCATTAGCTGTCTACTTCTCCTACTTTCAGTCTTGCTTGCAGAATGTTGTGACCAAGAATCGCCGGCACGTCATGGTAAGAGTAGTGCAACGTGCAAGAGCATGCGAGTTTCGGCAGTGACAAGCTCTCCTTTGTTCGCGTCATCACCGGTCGTGCACGCTGTAAAGCTCCGATGTTATGCTTGGCCGGAGATGCGCGCGTCCGGGGGCACGGAGCGGCATGCATGCGTAAGATGTGTGCAAAGTGATACAAAAGGCACCGCACTGCCGCTGGAATACCGAGGCTCCCAGACTGCGCACGCTTTGCTGCTGGCCTTGATCCCCGGCGTGGCTGGCCAATCTCTAGAGCAGCCGCCCGTCTGCACAGGATGGCGTCGGCACCCGCGAGCCGCTGCGCTTTGCGTTGCGCGTTGTGTATACATCATGTGCCGACTAAGTGGCAGCAACATGCTCCAACTTTGACCGGATCATGCCGAGGATATTTCTACCTGCCCTCGCTGGAATCGGAGGGCTGATCGTAGGAGTTCTTCTCGTTCTAGGGTCAGCCTCTCGCCCTGCAGTGGCTGCGATCATCTGTGGACTCTGGTGGCAGCATGGCACCTAGCATCACATGACCCGCATTCAGTGCAGGTTACATGCTATCAGCGCTGTTGCGGTCGACGGCGTGAGAAGGCCGAGGAGGCAGCCCTTGTCCAAATGTTCATCGTCCAGCTACGCTAATGTCAACAGACGGAACGAGAGCTCAGACGGAACGAGAGCTGTGAATCTGATCCCATGAAGGCGGGCTCCGCGAAGGAGGCGTGGGAATCGGGAGTCTACTACACTTTTGCTGCTCGTAGCTGCGTGTTAGCTTGCAAATGGGAAGCGTGCGCACATGGTGAAGCAGACAGACACGCTAAACCCTAAACCCGAAACCCTAAACCTTAAACCCGGAACCCTAAACCCTAAACCCTAAACCCTAAACACGTGGAGCTTGAAGAGGCAACGCGTGGTTGCATGGCTTGCGGCAACACCGGCTGCGGTCTCTGCACGCGTCCTTGCATCGCCTGCGACAACAAGGGGTGTGGTTTGTGCTCAACGTCTGCACCAGAGGCGCTGGCATAGCAACTTCATTCCTGAACCCTAAACCCTAAATCCTGAACCCTAAACCCTCAACCCTAAATCATGGTGCATGCAGTAGATCATGGCAATCCTTGATGCTGAGTGGGCAGGGGATCCCGGTAGCTCCGGTGGTGGCCGCGGATGCACCGATTGCAAGCGAGGAGGTGTCGGTGAATCTTTCAGAGATGTTGAGCAATTCTTGGGGCGGCTCTTCAGAGCTCTCAGGCTTTAAGCTCAAACTTGTGGAGGCGTGGGAAGAACCGTGCGCTGAGGGAGACATCGAGGAGTCGCGTACGGGGTGCCCTGACGGAAAACCGCGCCAAGTTGGATGTCAACGTCTGCCCCCTTGGTCCCCTCAGCGGTTCTTCAGAGTCCGAGGTCGAAACCGTGCGCTTTTCTAGTGCCAGAAGCTGTGGAAGCCTTGGCCCCAGCATGGGTTTGGACTCCTCTGCATCTTGTAGTGCATCTCTACAATATCTCCAGTGTATCTCCAGTATCATCAGATTGTCGAAGTGCCCCCACGCGATCTTGAGTGTGCCCAGGAGCCTCCCCAGCTGCAAAATGCACGTGGTAGTCTCGATCTCAGATGTTTTGTCGAGACCCCGCTAGGATCCGCAAGGCACCGGGTGTATGCGCTTTTTCTCTGCCGATCTTCGACTCCCTAAAACTTATTGTGCGTTGTGGTGTCCCCCCTCCCTCCTACTGAAGATAGTTCTACATTTCAATGACAAGCAAGTGCTGGTAAGGAAGTTGGATGGAACATATCTGAGAGCCGCAGGCACTTTTCCAGGGCAGGTCGAGCTATGCAAATTGCATGACATGGCATAACAGTCGCTCTGATTGCGTGACCTTGCCAAGCTTCACGTTCCATCATCTGCAAGATCTTCAAAGCAAGTCTTGCCAATTTGGGTGATGACAGTTCTTTGAGTTTTCGAATCTTGGGTGTCCACACAACACAGCCAGTACCTGGAATGGAGGTCTGGGCTGTTGTAGGAAGTGGTTGAGGAGAGTGCACTGTGTTTCCAGACCGCCAAGTAATTGCCTCTTTGGGCGACGTCATTTTGGCTTTCTGTATCTTCTGCTGTTAACGTATGGTCTTGCGGGAGCACTGGCTGGAACTCACACTTTGTTCTGCGTGATGTCGCCGGGAGCCATCGTGAGATGCTGGAAGGTGTTCCTCAAAGGAAACTTCCCAGAGTTTTTCAATCAGCAACCGCCAAACCTCCAGAAGTGAGCCAAGTTACTAGCAGCCACGGATGGATGCAACGCAGGCGCATCTGCAAGTAGTGCACCCGAGTAAGCCCAGTCGTTTTCGCTCTTCATGCAACATTGCCTGCTGCGTTTCACTTTAATGTGATGGACGAGTGAAGTCGCTGGAACCAACTCTAACATCCAAACAGAAAGCTGCTGATTGTGATCATGTGAGGGTTTACGAAAATAGGGGCCCCCGAAGACAGAAGACCCCTAAAAAATCCTTGTGGAGAAGGACCCATTAAGGTACCCCTGATTTCGGAAACCTCCATATGCCCAGCACCTCTTGTGGTGGACTCGTCCTTGTGCAACGTGCTGTGCATGTGTTCTCCGGATGCGCTCTGGCTCCTATCGCCCGAAGCCTGAACCCTTGTCGATCCAACAATCTGCCGCGACATCATGTCGGAACAAGCCGATTGAGTGTGTTGGGCCACCCAGCTGCACACAAATCCAACACTTGTATTCATTCACGGAGGACGGACGCCTCTAAAGTTGCGCCGAGGCACTGGTGCAGAGCATGCCAGGAAACCAGGACCACACCACAGCGTATCCCAAGTTCTCGGCAGAAGTTGACTTACTTCAGACCTTCTTCGATGGATCGCAATGGGCATGGTAGGGCTTCAATTCTGGCTGCCAGGAGCTGTTGCAGGATCGCTTCAAGATTTCCAGGGACCACATCTTGGGAGAAGGCACGTCTGCGTCACTCCAAGTCAACCCTAAGCCGTATAAGCCCAGAAGTTCAGGAAGTGGCAGGAATGCATCCAGTCGGATTGCATGCTCTCTGCGGTTCGCATGCCAGCGGCTTGAAAAGGGCGACATGGGAACTCCCTAGCACATCTCTGCCATTTAGTTGCAGATGCTCATGGCAAGCTTAAGGCAAGAAAGGGGGGGTACCAGTGCACCTCCACTCTGCTGTGGTCACAGCATACCTCCTCGCCGAGAAAAGCAGGGGATGTCCTTTATGGGATCAAGATGTGGAAGGCGCGTGGGGGGAGAAATGTGAAGCCGCCTCTGCCGCTGCCGGCGCTCGGATGCATGGGACACTGGGGTGGGACACTGGGGTGAGCAAAGCACAGCGTAGGGCTCTTGGTTCAAGTGTCCGCGGGATAGGGTGGCAGCTGAGCTGAGCCGAGAAGCAACCGAGACGCGCCAGCTCGCAAGGGGGTGCGGTGCAGCAGTATGTCAGCAGATGTGGCGTCCTACCAGCTCCTAAGTATTTTGCACTGCGGCAGGAAGCTATGCAGTGGTGTACAAGGGACTGGATCGAAAGGCACGTAAGTTGTCGCGAACGTGTTTGGAGTTAAGAGGCTGAATTCGAGCCTGGAAGGGGTTGAAGAACGTGGCCGTCAAACTCTACAAGGACATAGCGCGGGCCTCATCACACCGTCCTGTCTGATGATCGCTGAGATAGCTGCAGATGTACCAAGGACGAGGACGCAACTCAATCCTTCAAGAAAAGCTGCTTTTCTGCAATTTCGCTGAGAACTTCACGGCAAAGAACAAACCCAAAGCCGGACAACGTACTGTGTCGCCGGGCACCGTGCGTCACCGTTTCTACCCTCCCAAAGAGCCCGTGCCCAGCCCATCCACATGTGAAGGTTTCCGCGGGTTTCTCAGGTGAGTTCAGGGTTTAGGGTTTAGGGTTTAGGGACTTCAGGGTTTATCCTCCAAACCCTACTCAAGGCGCAGTGTTGGGAGAGCGGTTTGTGCTGCCCTTTTAGAGGCAAAGCACCGGGACTTCTTTGGTTTGACGTTGGTTTGAACATATTGCCACTTGTGTTCGATGGCAACGACCAAGTAGCTTCCAAGTTCGGCAGTGCTCCATCCCCCCCCCCCCCGCCCCTGTGTGCGTCGAAACATTGTGCTGAGGCATAGATGTCCTGCTCTCTATACAGACTGGGAAGCGATCTGCCAGCAAAACAGCGCCATCGGAGGATGGAAAATCCGACGCGCCTGCCTCAGTGGTGGAGCACAAGTGCTTTGGCCCCAGCTTCTGCAGACCCCGAGGCAAGTGATACTGAGCCACCGGATGGGCCCGATGCTGCCTGACTGCAGTACACAACGCGATACGCTGCGACACAGCGCCCCTCTCCTGCAGACGGCACTCTCCGACCAGGAGATAGACACCGATTGGGCAGAGAATTCGACGGATTGGGCAGAGTTCGCAACAAGATCCTTCGATCCCCGGATGGTGGACGTACCATCGCACGTGCGACGTGGTAGCGATTGGCAGCGGATGACTCTTGTACCAAACGCTACACTAGCCCCTAGACATCCCCAACTATACCCAACTATCCCCACGTATTTCTAGGGTTTGGGGTTTAGGGTTTAGAGACAAAGCCATCCCCAAGTATTCCCAACTCAAGACGCCGGAGAGTTCTCTTGGGAAGAGCCAGGCGGAGACGGTCATCAAGGGGCGAGCTGTCTCCTGGATGCACTGGAGCCAGCTGGTCTCCTAGCTCAGGCGCGTGATGCCAAGCTTAGGATCAGAAAGATCGACTTCAGCTCATGCTTTGTCCCCTCCTAAGAAGTCATCTGGAGAAGTTTCTTCAAACCGGAGCTGCCCTTCAGCAGAATCCCCCCCCCTCCCCCAAAGAAGCGAGCGACACCACTGAGGTGTCGGTTGTTAGCTTCTCGAAGGATGAGCATGACAATCCTGGCCTTGATTCAGAATCCGAGTACGCTGGGCTGCATCTGGGCATTCCCCAAAAAAGGGGTACCCCTTTATACCGTTAATTTGAATAGAATCCCCTTAAAGGGGCCCCCCAAAAGGGTACCCTGATCTCCGGAAACCCCCCATCTCAGTAGTGAACAAGGATGCTATTGGCACAATGCCCCTTCTGCAACAAGCTCTTTGCATGATTGCGATATTAGCTCCGAGGTCGCTTTTCATTGTCTTCGAACTCGGAGGGGAATCCCTGGAGGACCGAGCCTGGGGACATGTTCTTCTGGCCGCGTACGGTGCGACCTCGACCATGGCGTCGTAGGATCATGTCAGCGGCCGGCAAGTCAACGAGGCGTCAACTGGCGCAGGACAGACTTGTACGGTATGCAGAAGAAGGACGAAAGCTGTCAGCGGATGAACATCGTTCCCTGCAGCAACTGGACTGCAGATGGCCAGAGTGGGCTCATGGATTGGCCCAATCAGGGGCCAGCACGACTGGGTTGCTGGGTTAATGTGTGCCGGACGTAGACCCGTCATAGGGGAAGAAGCTAAGTTGACCATGTGCAGGGGTGTCCAAAACACAGCAAAACACGGCGGCCATTACCGGCAGCTGATATTCCCCATCCACGTTCCCTTGCTTAGGTGGGCTTTGGTCTCTATAGTCTCTCGTCTGCAACCGCCTGCAGCAACCTGCAGTATGTATCTTTCTTCATCTTGGGCATGTTCGACTTGTCTTCAGTTTTCATAGCTGCCACCAATAATTGAGACTTCAGAGCCGCACAGTTGAGGTTTTTGGCCTGCATACTCTTGGGCAGCTTGACCGCAGCACGGAGCAATAGGTGGGTGTGGCATGACGGATGGTGCGTTTATGCGCATGCTGTCTGGAAAGGCGCTTGCTAACAGAAGCGGATGCCTTAGGTACGTGCACTTAGACATCAAGCCAGCGAACATCGTTAGCTTTGACGTGGGAGACCGAAAGGAGTTCTGGTAGCGAAAAGCTTTCTGGGGCATGGCCAGATGTGCAGTACCTTCGGGATGATAATGGAGTCAGCGGGTTGTGGCTGGCCAACATCTGTTGAGCCGGGCGAAGGGGTGGCTACACGTGAGCATGCCGATGCTAGGAGCAGTGGAAGCTGATAGATCTCGACGGTGCGCTCTGCTCCGGAAAGCCAACTCTGCTCAAGGCCACGTTGGGAGCTCCTCTGTCCAGTAGCTTCAGTGCTTCAGTGCTCATGGTAAGCCAAGGCATACCTGTTCGATCGTTAATGTCTCTCAAAGGCCCAAGAAGATGCACCATTCACCCCACTGTTGTTCCACTGCCTGGTTCTCTGATCCGCGACAAAAAGCCGCCCACAAGACTCATTTCCTTTTGATTTCTGTCCTTTCGTGAACCCCCCCAAAGTCATACTCAAAGCTAACTACAAGCTCACGGATTAGTTTACGTAGTTGGTGTGGGCTTTCGATCGGCTACGACCGTGTATTTGTAGCACCTTGGAAGCATCATCCAGCAGAACACCAAGCAACATCATGTTGACTTCTGGCCACTCCCCCTTAAGTGGGTCTTCTTTCTCCCGCCACTCCTACCACGCCCACTTCTTCTTCTTCTTCTTCTCATCCAAGTCTTTTGTGCTTATGGCAGAGGACTGCGTGACGACGTTGCAATACACGCCGGCACCTGAGGGACGAACTTTCTGAGCGAGGTTTTCCATAGGCGCGAAGGTGCACGCAGGGAATCTCGTAGGAGTTGCACCGCAGGACATCCTGGTCTGTGCACCCATGGCTTCACATCCGAAGTCACACCAACCCTAAAGCCCCTCAGTACTCTAAACGCCAGAAACTCCGGCAAGCAGGCCAAGTGCGGTGCTTCCTCCCCTCCAAGGTCTCCAGAGCTTGCAGGGACCTTCCTTTCCATGCAGGCAGCTTGATGGGCTATATTCTCACCTGTAGTTCAGGGTTTAGGGTTCTAGATGGCCCCTTGCATGAGGCGACTCCATCTCTTGAGAGATACCTGTCAAGGGACCATGGTGTTTAAGTCGCCCCCATCTCCAGAGCCTGCCGCTGCCAGGTCTGCGCGCATGACAAATTTGGAAGACCGCGGCGTGGCAAGGAAGATCCGGACAACCAGCTCATCAAGGAGGGGAACTCCCCAAAAGGGCCCAAAAGAAGCGAGACCTTCAGAAGGCTACACCCGAGCGGCCCACCCAAGCACAAACAGCTCGACTTGACCACAAAAGCTCCACCAAAGAGTCCCGAAAAGTGAAACTGTTCTGCTGTTGTAAACCCAGTGATGATTTACTTACTCACATACAGTGCATGGCGCATTGCAATAACCGCAGGTTTCTCACAGCTTTGTCTTTTTACCATACTGACAATGAGTTGTTCATAAATAGCTTAGACAGCCAATTGCATAAACAGAACGCAGGGATACCCAAGCATCAGCCGCCAACTCGACAGTGATTGTCGAAGTTCCTGGCTTCTGGGACTCCGGGGGATGCAGTTCAGGTAGCAACAAGAACTCATTTCTGCCTTATAATAGTCCCCATATATCGAAGTAGCCCCTGGAAAAAAAAAACCTTAAAAAAAAGATAACCCCTCCGAAGCCCTGCACGCCTTGTGACTTCAAGCTCTCTCTGTCCAGCTCTCCCGGCTCATGGACGTTTGGAGTGTTGGGATGTGTGCGATGGAGGCAGGGTCATTGCTGCTCTTGGTGTCTGCACAGCTACTGGGAGGTTCATGGTACTCATTAAGCAATGATAACTGAACTTATCACTGTACTGATAACCATACTAGGGAACAAAAGGGGCTGAGAATTTGGTTATAAGTACAGTTATAATTGGTTAAGAAGTACCATGAACCTCCAAGTACAGCCACCTATTGCCAGGCAATTTTCTTGGTACCCATCTTAATGCCATGGCAGCTCGACTCAGTGATACTGCTGCGACGTAAATGAGATCATGAGCTCCAGCAAGTAGGTACCTCTGCCGCCCGGCTTAGGTATGATGAGTGGCTGAGCGAAACAGGCTCCAGCACAACTTCTCAGGGTTACATGGACGATGCACTGCTCAGAGCTTTGCTTTGCTCACAGGCACCGAGGAGAAGTTCCTCAAGTGGCTCGCGGACTACTACACCGAGCCAATAATCACAGGAGCCCTGCAGTCAGTTCTCTGAATGGGTGGTCCCTCGTGGGTTACCCAAATCTTCCCGGGGCCGGCCCTCGAGCGTAAGCCCTGAACCCCTTCAGCCTCAACAACAACGCGATATGAGGAGACCTGCAGGCTGCTTTGCAGGAGATCGACAAGGCAGCTTAGGGGTTAGGTTGTAGCTTAGGGGTCAGGGTGTGTAGGGTGTTTGGGATGTTCAGGGTGTAGGGCTTCCGCGTCCTGCGGCCGCTGCAGTGCTCACTCGTGCGCCCTGGGCCAGGACATGTGCAGCTTCTTGGAGGGGATGCTTCAAAAGGACCCAGACATGCCCCAAGGGCCCCTTAAAGGGCCCCCCACGTAGGCCCAGAGAGCCCAAAAGGCGCCCCTTGGGAAGTCCGAAATGTCCGAAGGATCCTGCCAAGCGTTTCAGCATTATCGAGTGCATCAACCACACGTGGTTCCAGAAGATTCGTCACAGCCACCTCGAGGACAGGGTTACGGAGGGGCTTTCGCGGGTGGGTTCCAGGCCATTTCTGGCACCAGCAATGCCCCCCACTGGCGTGAGAGTCCTTTGCAATAGTAGGATTCAAAAGAGCTTGGCTTTATCCAACTCGTTGGGCTATTCGTGGAATGTTTGCCAGAGATCAGGTCTGGCAAGCCTTAGCCTCCCATGGTTTGTGAGACCTCTCACGCAGGACCTTGCTGGAATACTGGAGAGGTGCTCGGCAGGGCAAATGGTGTGTGTGTGTGTGTGTGTGTGTGTGTGTGTGTGTGTGTGTGTGTGTGTGTGTGTGTGTGTGTGTGCGTGTGTGTGTGCGGTCTAAAGCCCTATCAACCCCGAACCCCTAGACTCCTGAACCCGTTTGAGCATTCAACCCTATTATGGGTTTAAACATCAAACCCCTCTTCTGGGTCCCTTCGATTCGGGTTTAGGAAGTTTGGGTTTCAGCCGTGGGAGGTCGGAAGCTGCCGGCTCTGAGACGGAGTCGCCCACAGCATCGAGGCGGCCCTTCGTGTATCCAGTGGGTCTGTTGAACAGGGTTTCGGGTTTAGGGTTTGGGTTTAAGGGTTTAGGGTTTAGGTCTTAAGTGCTTAGGGTGTAGAGCTTGGGGTTTGGGTTTATCTTTCTGGGTTTTGTGTTACAATGATCCCTGGAAAACCGAGTTTTTCGTTATCTCGCGACTGGAACCAGTAAGCTGAAACCTGAAAGATGTTTGTGGAGGCCGGCCGAGCAGAAGGAAGACGAGGAAGCCAAGCCGGACAGGTGCGAGTGCACATGGCATGAAGAAGTCAGAGCGACATGAGTCAAGGGCAATAATATACTCCTCAGGGTCTTGAAGCCAAACGGCACCTTTGCGAGGTCACCCGCGGGTGGCAAACCAGATGTCAGAAGAGCATCCAGAGCTTGCGCGTTAATGTAGCCAACATGTGCAGCAGACGAGTCGAAACTCATCAAAGACCGCATTAGGCTCAGATCTTATCGTTGCTGCGCATGTGCACCCTGATTTTAAGTTTTTGGTAGAAGCCCCTCTGCATTGGAAATGCAAACCATTCTCCGATGCTCCTGTCATATATCGTGTTTTGGAATGTTTGAGCTTTGTGAGCCAGCGCACTGCCCCTCATTACCCACAAGCTGAGCTTCTACAGTTAGCGCACCGGGGCATCCATTTGACCCTCAACCCTGAACCCTCAACCGCAGCAGGCAGCTTGCAAGGTTATGAAGTAACCTGGCGCAGCAAGCCTCAGATTCAGGGCCCTCTGTAGCGGACTCTGAGACTGGGCTTGTTTTTCGGTTTTATGTGAAACCTTCTTGGTGTCAGCACATAGCCCACGCGTTCGAAGCCAAGTTCGACTCCGTGGGTGCTGACATTACAGGGCCGTCTTGGTAAGTTTACAACACCCTAAAGGGACTTGGAATGACTTAGATCTTGGCTCCATCAGAATCTGGCTGGACCAAAAAAGACCTCTGAGATACAGTGCATATATGCTGATAGGAAACGAAATATGAATCGTCTGGCTGAGCCTTGCGTAGCGATTAACTTGGGCAACGAGCCTGTGGTTTTTGAGAGCTTGGGAGGAATGGAGGTAGGCGATCATATTCTTTTGGAAAGTATCCCTTAGAGTTTGTTGAATCTCTTCTCTCTTCGCATTCGTAGGGTTTGGGGAGGACTTAGACATTTGTTATATGTTGCCTTTTTGTATATTCGAGAACATTTCTTCAGTATTGAAAATCTTCATCGCAAGAAGGTGAATATTCGATTCGGATAATTTTCGATTACAATGAGATCTCCAGCGTATAATTGTTGCTCACCATATTTCATTATCGGGATAATTACTGAGACTAGACGGGGTATAGAATTTGATCCTTTGCTCTCCATAGAGGTTTTTTCCTACGATTATGAATTATTCGATGCAGGTCTCTTAATTGTTAGTAATTGCTAGTAAGCTGAACGATTTATTACGCTGCATTTAGCTTGATTCATTATTTAATGATGGGGATCTCTTGTATAGTTTTTGGGTGATTAGATATCTCATCTTTCTGGTTCGGGATGGTGATGGGTCTTTCTCCATTAAGGATGAGATGAATTGATACCCTATTATTGGCAGACGTTTCATTCGCCGCCGTGGAGGGGTTGTCGAGTTCTGCATTCTTGCTGGGGGGGGGATTGATTGCGTCTCTTGTGGTGCGTGCAATCCGAAAGTTCGGTATTTACAATGCTTTTTGGTCTTTGTTTTATCCGTGGTGTTGGCGATGTTCGTCTAATTCGCGTTTTTTTCGTCTTTTTCAGCATTTGACGGAAAACGTTGTTTTGTTTTTTTGGGTGGGTGCGGGGGGGGGGGGGGGGGGGGGGGGGGGGGGCGGGACGGTGAGATTTTCATTTTTTTCGAAACCTCGGGGGTTACGATATTTTCAATACTTTTTGATAGTTTTTTCATATTATGAATATATCCCCATAAAAGGCTACGGGCTCGACCCTATTTTCGCTCTGCGGCCGCCCTGTCGGTTGCCCCGCCTCCTCTTCCGGTCAATTTGGCTGCTTGTGAGGGCCTTGCAGGGGGATCCGGAAAATTCCGAGAATTTTTAAGCTTATTGGCTAAAAACCCCTAGGAATTTTGGGAATCACCCGGATCTGAAAATTCCCGGAATTTTCGGAATCACCCGGATTGAGGTTTAGGCTTTCCGGGTTGGATTTAAGGTTCCAGCGCAACAGTGATGACGTGGGTGCCCCTTCACCTTCAAGGAAATCTTCAAGGAATCTCTTGGTCCAGGGTAGTTCCGATGACGGTCGCCGCCCGCCAGCTGTTCAAGGGGGTTCGGCCTCACGATCACATATCAGCAACAATCCTAGGAATTTAAAATTCCGGGAATTTTCGGGATCCCCCGAGTTCAGGGTTTTACGCTTTACGGTGTAGGGTTTTGGGGTTTAGTAGAAATTGTATAGGGTTTGTGTCCGGAGTTTTGTCGTGTTTTGGGGGGTCTTGTATTTTGCTTTTGCTGGAATGGTTTGGGTTCTGTCGGGTGTGGTGGGTTTTGGGGTGCTGAGGGGTTGGGGCTGAAAGGCTGGGTTTTGGGGGGCTTTCCCGAATGCCCGTGGTGGTGGTCCGTGGTCCCGTGGTGGTTCGTCGTGGTGGTCCCACAGCGTGGTGGTGGTCCCGTGGTGGTGGTGCTCCTTTGGTGGTGGTGGTCCTGTGGTGGTGGTCTGTCGTGGTGGTGGCGGTGTCCGTGGTGGTGGTGGTGGTGGTGGTGGTGGTGGTCCCTGGTGGCCGTGGTGGTGGTCCCGTGGTGGTCCCATGGTGGTGGCCGTGGTGGTGGTCCCGTGGTGGTTGTCTCGTGGTGGTGGTCCCATGGTGGTGGTCTCGTGGTGGTGGTCCCATGGTGGTGGTCTCGTGGTGGTGGTCCCGTGGTGGTGGTCCTGTGTGGTGGTGGTCCCGTGGTGGTGGTCCGCGGCGGTGGTCCGTGGTGGTTGGTCCGTGGTGGTGGTCCGTGGCGGGGGTCCGTGCGGGTGGTCTGTGTTGGTGGTCGTGGTGGAGGTCTCGTGGTGGTGGTCTGTGGTGGTGGTCTCGTGGTGGTGGTCTTGTGGTGGTGGTCTCGTGGTGGTGGTCTCGTGGTGGTGGTCCGTGGTTTATGTTATGTCATATTTTACGATGAATATGATAGTTTTCTATATTCGGGATCGTGATTCTTATTAGTTTGTTTTTTGCTTTTTGTTGTATTGGTTTGGGTTTTGTCGGGTGCGGTGGAGATGGGTTGTTTTGGGGTGGGAGGGGCTGGGGCTGAAGGATTGAGGGGATTGTGGGGAAGGCCGAGGGCTTGGATTTGGGGTTGTGGGTGAGGGATTGGGATATTATTATGGTCAAATAAGCATTATGCGGTACGTCACGCCTCGGAGCGCTCCAACCCCAAAATTTTCCGGAAATTTCTGGACCCCGGCGAGCAAGCCACTTTGGCTTACCCGGGACCAAAATTTTTGGAAAATTTTGGGGCCTGGGCTGTGTCCTTTGAAAGGCTAGGCTTCTTCAATGGCCGCAAGCCGGATTCGTTCCCCTAAATTTCTGGAAAATTTCTGGTTCCGGGTAGCCTGAAGCCTCGATCTCTAAATTTCTGGAAAATTTACTTCATCGCTTTCCTAAATTTCCCGAAAATTTATACACCCAAAATTTTCAGGAAATTTAGGAAATGGATATAGCCTTCTTATCTTGGATGCCCGTATTCTTGTTGCATGAATTAGAACGTATGTCGTGGTTAAGCGGAGTATAGCTCGGGGCATTAGAGCGCATGTCACGGGCAAACGTAACACAATTCGGGAATACATTGAGGACGGGCTTGCCCCCAAACCCACCGAAGCCGCATGGAGCCGCATGGAGCCGAATGGATCCGTGTGAAGACGTATGGAACTTACACTTCCCACCTCGCGCGTGCCAGCAGGTCCCTTCCGATTAACTTTGTGAGGTCGACGTTAGAGGCATGGGCTATTGCAACGGAATGCGTTGAAGGATCTCTTTTCAGGTGTTAGTTTTCGCTGCCCATGGCCGAAGGCACGAAGCGTAGGGCATGATTCTAGCATGGCTTTTGTTTTCAAGCTTCCCAATGCTCGCAACACGTCGTGCAAGTGTAGCTGAAACATGGCAGCAGGCATCTTGGCTTTATCTGCAAGGGCTCAGAGCACTGAATCTCTGGATCTTCTGAATATGAACCTTCCCTACGATTGCAAGATATTTGCAGAATCCATGCCGCCCATTTTGTCTCGGGCTTGCGTATCAGCCAGGTCGTATCTGATTTTTACGCTGCTCGCCGTCTAGCTGGACCCCGAAATCGGGGCAACGCTTCCCGGCAGGCCGGACGTGTCACGGTGGGAACACTGCTAGCCGAACATGGGGCTTGTGGGATTCATTTGCGCCCGAATTCCGGGAAGACTTCCGTATCCGGTACCCCGACGTTGTAGCCGAACAGCTCTCCTTGCAGCATTTGCAAGAATGCTTGGCGAGGAGTGGGAAAATTACTGCCGATTATGGGTTTCCACTACCCCGAGCTTTTAATGCGGATGCTCTCCGAACACGCGAGTTGCGCGCAGAACGAAATTATGACCCTACGCACGAAGAAAGCGAGGCCGCTCGCATGGCGACGTTCATGCATGATTATCCCGAACAATTGTA